GCCTCAGTGTGGACCCAGGGGGCCTCAGTGTGGACCCAGGAGACCTCAGTGTGGACCCAGGAGACCTCAGTGTGGACCCAGGGGCCTCAGTGAGGACCCAGGGGCCTCAGTGTGGACCCAGCGGCCTCAGTGTGGACCCAGGGGACCTCAGTGTGGACCCAGGGGCCTCAGTGTGGACCCAGCGGCCTCAGTGTGGACCCAGAGGACCTCAGTGTGGACCCAGGGGCCTCAGTGTGGACCCATGGGCCTCAGTCTGGACCCATGGGCCTCAGTCTGGACCCAGGGGCCTCAGTCTGGACCCAGGGGCCTCAGTGTGAACCACACCGAGGACCTCAGTGAGGACCACACCGAGGACCTCAGTGTGGACCACACCGAGGACCTCAGTGTGGACCACACCGAGGACCTCAGTGTGGACCACACCGAGGACCTCAGTGTGGACCACACCGAGGACCTCAGTGTGGACCACACCGAGGACCTCAGTGTGGATCACACCGAGGACCTCAGTGTGGACCACACCGAGGACCTCAGTGTGGACCCAAGGACCTCAGTGTGGACCACACCGAGGACCCAAGATAACCTCTCGAATTTGGGATGTTTGGGATATTTTGAAAACTGCAGGGGGGTTTTAGGCAAAATGTGACCCACCGCCGCTTTCAGTAATTGGCATATTTTCGGTATAAAAAGTAGGAATTTCAAACTGCGAATACGTAGATATAGGGGACCTCAGTGTGGACCCAGGGGCCTCAGTGTGGACCCAGGGACCTCAGTGTGGACCTAGGAGCCTCAGTGTGGTCCCAGGGGCCTCAGTGTGAACCCAGGGGACCTGAGTGTGGACCCAGTGGCCTCAGTGTGGACCCAGGGGCCTCAGTGTGAACCCAGGGGGCCTCAGTGTTGTCCCAGGGGCCTCAGTGTGGACCCAGGGGACCTCGGTGAGGACCCAGGGGCCTCAGTGTGGACCCAGGGGAGCCTCAGTGTGGACCCAGGGACCTCTGTGTGGACCCAGGGACCTCAGTGTAGATCCAGGGACCTCAGTGTGGACCCGGGGGGGGACTAGGTGTGGACCCAGGGGGGGGGGACTCGGTGTGGACCCAGGGGGGGGGGACTCGGTGTGGACCCAGGGGGGGGGACTCGGTGTGGACCCAGGGGGGGGGGACTCGGTGTGGACCCAGGGGGGGGGGACTCGGTGTGGACCCAGGGGGGGGGACTCGGTGTGGACCCAGGGGGGGGGGGACTCGGTGTGGACCCAGGGGGGGGGGACTCGGTGTGGACCCAGGGGGGGGGGACTCGGTGTGGACCCAGGGGGGGGGACTCGGTGTGGACCCAGGGGGGGGGGGACTCGGTGTGGACCCAGGGGGGGGGGACTCGGTGTGGACCCAGGGGGGGGGGACTCGGTGTGGACCCAGGGGGGGGGGGACTCGGTGTGGACCCAGGGGGGGGGGACTCGGTGTGGACCCAGGGGGGGGGGACTCGGTGTGGACCCAGGGGGGGGGGACTCGGTGTGGACCCAGGGGGGGGGGACTCGGTGTGGACCCAGGGGGGGGGGGGGGGGGACTCGGTGTGGACCCAGGGGGGGGGGGACTCGGTGTGGACCCAGGGGGGGGGGGACTCGGTGTGGACCCAGGGGGGGGGGGACTCGGTGTGGACCCAGGGGGGGGGGGACTCGGTGTGGACCCAGGGGGGGGGGACTCGGTGTGGACCCAGGGGGGGGGACTCGGTGTGGACCCAGGGGGGGGGGACTCGGTGTGGACCCAGGGGGGGGGGACTCGGTGTGGACCCAGGGGGGGGGGACTCGGTGTGGACCCAGGGGGGGGGACTCGGTGTGGACCCAGGGGGGGGGACTCGGTGTGGACCCAGGGGGGGGGACTCGGTGTGGACCCAGGGGGGGGACTCGGTGTGGACCCAGGGGGGGACTCGGTGTGGACCCAGGGGGGGACTCGGTGTGGACCCAGGGGGGGGACTCGGTGTGGACCCAGGGGGGGACTCGGTGTGGACCCAGGGGGGGACTCGGTGTGGACCCAGGGGGGGACTCGGTGTGGACCCAGGGGGGGACTCGGTGTGGACCCAGGGGGGGACTCGGTGTGGACCCAGGGGGGGACTCGGTGTGGACCCAGGGGGGGACTCGGTGTGGACCCAGGGGGGGACTCGGTGTGGACCCAGGGGGGACTCGGTGTGGACCCAGGGGGGGACTCGGTGTGGACCCAGGGGGGGACTCGGTGTGGACCCAGGGGGGGACTCGGTGTGGACCCAGGGGGGGACTCGGTGTGGACCCAGGGGGGGACTCGGTGTGGACCCAGGGGGGGACTCGGTGTGGACCCAGGGGGGGACTCGGTGTGGACCCAGGGGGGGACTCGGTGTGGACCCAGGGGGGGACTCGGTGTGGACCCAGGGGGGGACTCGGTGTGGACCCAGGGGGGGACTCGGTGTGGACCCAGGGGGGGACTCGGTGTGGACCCAGGGGGGGACTCGGTGTGGACCCAGGGGGGGACTCGGTGTGGACCCAGGGGGGGACTCGGTGTGGACCCAGGGGGGACTCGGTGTGGACCCAGGGGGGGACTCGGTGTGGACCCAGGGGGGACTCGGTGTGGACCCAGGGGGGGACTCGGTGTGGACCCAGGGGGGGACTCGGTGTGGACCCAGGGGGGGACTCGGTGTGGACCCAGGGGGGACTCGGTGTGGACCCAGGGGGGGACTCGGTGTGGACCCAGGGGGGGACTCGGTGTGGACCCAGGGGGGACTCGGTGTGGACCCAGGGGGGGACTCGGTGTGGACCCAGGGGGGGACTCGGTGTGGACCCAGGGGGGGACTCGGTGTGGACCCAGGGGGGGACTCGGTGTGGACCCAGGGGGGGACTCGGTGTGGACCCAGGGGGGGACTCGGTGTGGACCCAGGGGGGACTCGGTGTGGACCCAGGGGGGGACTCGGTGTGGACCCAGGGGGGGACTCGGTGTGGACCCAGGGGGGGACTCGGTGTGGACCCAGGGGGGGACTCGGTGTGGACCCAGGGGGGGACTCGGTGTGGACCCAGGGGGGGACTCGGTGTGGACCCAGGGGGGGACTCGGTGTGGACCCAGGGGGGACTCGGTGTGGACCCAGGGGGGGACTCGGTGTGGACCCAGGGGGGGACTCGGTGTGGACCCAGGGGGGGACTCGGTGTGGACCCAGGGGGGACTCGGTGTGGACCCAGGGGGGACTCGGTGTGGACCCAGGGGGGGACTCGGTGTGGACCCGGGGGCCTCGGTGTGGACCCGGGGGCCTCAGTGTGGACCCGGGGGCCTCAGTGTGGACCCGGGGGCCTCAGTGTGGACCCGGGGGACCTCAGTGTGGACCCGGGGGACCTCAGTGTGGACCCGGGGGGCCTCAGTGTGGACCCAGGGACCTCAGTGTGGACCCAGGGGGCCTCAGTGTGGACCCAGGGGACCTCAGTGTGGACCCAGGTGGGACCTCGGTGTGGACTCCTATGTCCCTGGGTCCACACCGAGGCCCCTGGGTCCACACTGCGGTCCCTGGGTCCACACTGAGGCCCCTCCTGGGTCCACACTGAGGCCCCTCCTGGGTCCACACTGAGGCCCCTCCTGGGTCCACACTGAGGCCCCTCCTGGGTCCACACTGAAGCCCCTCCTGGGTCCACACTGAGGCCCCTCCTGGGTCCACACTGAGGCCCCTCCTGGGTCCACACTGAGGCCCCTCCTGGGTCCACACTGAGGCCCCTCCTGGGTCCACACTGAGGCCCCTCCTGGGTCCACACTGAGGCCCCTGGGTCCACACTGAGGCCCCTGGGTCCACACTGAGGCCCCTCCTGGGTCCACACTGAGGCCCCTGGGTCCACACTGAGGCCCCTGGGTCCACACTGAGGCCACCCTGGATCTATACTGAGGCCCCTGGCCCCTGGATTACGCAAGCACTTACATGTACTAAGATGTACACGCAAGAACGTGTACATCTTTCCTCAGTCTTTGACGGCTTCGGTTGCATTTATTAAACAGTTTACAAGCATGAAAACTTGCCAATCAACTGTTGTTATTGTTATAAACAGCCTCCTGGTGCTTCGGAGCTCATTAGCTGTTTAATAATTGTAAACAAAGCCGCCAAAGATTGAGAAAAGATGGACAGGTTCGTAAGTGCTTCGTGAATCTGGCCCAGCTCCTGTAAGAGTGGGGGAAGGTTGAGAGGAGCACATTGTCTACCCAACTAGCTTACACCTAGCCAAGGAGCAACTAGAGTAACTAGTGACTAAGAAACACCTACATCCCTGCATCATGAAGGAATTTTCAGTCACTAGTTGCAGAACTATCTGAAAAAAAACCAACCCTGTGAGGTCATGTAAATTGATTTTTTCCCCTACCACAGACGTGACCACATATTTCAAATGCTAACCAATATTACCAGTCTCCGTGGTGTAGTGGTAAGACACTCGCCTGGCGTTCCGCGAGCGCTATGTCATGGGTTCGTATCCTGGCCGGGGAGGATTTACTGGGCGCAATTCCTTAACTGTAGCCTCTGTTTAACGCAACAGTAAAATGTGTACTTGGATGAAAAAACGATTCTTCGCGGCAGGGGATCGTATTCCAGGGACCATAGGATTAAGGACTTGCCCGAAACGCTACGCGTACTAGTGGCTCTACAAGAATGTAACAACTCTTGTATATATAAAAAAAAAAAAAAAAAAAAAATATATATATATATATATATATATATATACACATTTTGTTCAGTAATGTGTGGACAAGGTTAGAGATCTGTTAAACATATTCAGTGTTACGTAACAGTGTAGGTAAGGGGCTCCAGCAACGCCCCCCCCCCCCTTTTAACCCTGTCGTAGCTCAGTCGCTTAAAGCAGTGTCTGGGATGCTCCCGGACGCAGGTTCAAATCCTCGTCACGGCCCTTGTGGATTTGTTCATTTGCCCCCCCGAGACTTGTTTATGTGTGTGATATACAAGTGTCATTACGGGGTGTACCCCACAGCAGGAGAGAGATAATAGTGTGTGTCTTCCCCCATCAGGGTGCGGCTGGCGCAGCTGCGGGAGGAGGGCGCCGCCAGACTGAGGGTGCTGGAGGCCGAGCTGGCGTTACACCACCACCACCGACAAATGCTCCAGCAACAGCATCAGCTCAAGATGCAGATCCTCATGCTCAAGCTCAAGCGGGCCAAGGAAGGCTCTCCTACTCAGTGACTAACGGCAATTTAGCACAGTCACCTATCAACTCACTCAGCCTAATTGAATATAAGTTGTTATTATGTCTAGGAAGCAATAATATGTAAGATATACTGATACAAGTCTAGTGCACTATCCTTTACATGACAGAGTAAACACGATGGGCAAGTGGACGCATTAACCGCTTCTCTGATTCACGAAGCAGTTACGCAAGAACTTACGAACGTGTACATCTTTTCTCAATCTGGTGGATGTAAGGGGGGGGTCAGACTGATGGACGAAGGCATCGGACTAGGATAAAAGCATAAAACTACAGGATGAAGAGGATAGACTGCAGAATGTAAGGGGTTAGACTGCAGTATGAAGGGGATTGGACTGCCAGATGAAGATGGTTAGACTGTTGGACGAAGTTACGCTGCGGGACGAAGTTAGGCAGCAGGACGAAGTTAGACTGCGGGATGAAGTGGTTTAGATTACATGATGAAGACATCAGACTGCAGGATGACCAACCAAAATATAAGTAACCTACCAATACGGAGGCATTCAGACGGCACTACAGAAGAAGGGAAAAATAACAAAAATGCTTAAGCAGACACCATTGTCCCTACAAAGAAATAATAATTTTAACAGGGAGACTGAAGCAATCATATCAGATTGGAGACATACAATTAAAACAGAAAGACATACAAGAGATAAAGAAAAATCCAAAATATTTCTTAAAATATGCAAAACTGAAATAAAAACCCTCCAACCTCCATCGGGCCTGACAGCCGAGTAGACAGCGTTTGGGATTTGTAGTCCTGAGGTTCCGGGTTCGATCCCCAGTGGAAGTGGAAACAAAATGGGTAGAGTTTTTTTCCACCATGATGCACCTGTTCACCTAGCAGTAACTACGTACCTGGGAGTTAGACAGCTGCTACGGGCTGCCTCCTGGGGGTGTGTAACAAAAAGGAGACCTGGTCGAGGACCGGGCCGCGGGGACGTAAAGCCCCGAAATCAAATCAGTATCATCTCAAGATAATCAGTATTGGACCTATACTTACAAATGAAGGTTCATACACACAGGACGACAAAGACTCAGCAGTGAATGTAATAAAAGGCCAAATTCTGGGCGAGACCTGGTGGCTCCCTGAAGCTTGTAAAGGTGATATAGTGCCAAACTACCAGGTGCCATCAGTCACAGATTTTTTTAGGCCTACTGTGAACCAGAACCTGATTCCCTTTAAAGAGGCACAGAGAGCAGTGGCACAATGATAAAATTGTCTGAATTTTAATCATATCCACCATCACCGAGGAAGTCGGCAAGACAAAACAGGCCACTGCTGGTTAGAAGGATAATTGATGCATCAAAATCGTTAAATCCCCCCCCCCCCCCCCTCCCCAACAATGTAAGCAAATGATTGAAAAATCACGAAATTAGCTCAAGCTAATATCCACGACCGAAGGTTACACAAGGTCAACGAGGACCAGGAGCATTCACAAGGTACCAGGCTGCCAGGACCATCATTGACCACCAAAACCCTTGCACCCGAATATCAGACAAGACAAATTGGCAAACACAGGCAAGAGAACTGTAAACTTACAAATGTCCTGGGCACGAGGGTAGACCGCAGGCTGGCTAGACTTTGACACTGCAGAGGACCTGAGAAACGAAACATGAACCCTGGAACAGGGAACTAGGAAAACTGGATCAACCCACAATAAGTACATTGAAGCAGAGCTGGTAGCATGAGGGGTAGCGGTAAAGAGCCATTGGTGAACACAGCACATGATGCACCCCAACACGGACTCCTCCGGAAGCCAATTGATACATCTTTTGCCAGAAAAGAAGGAACCAGCTGCAGATAAACAAAATGACCCCATCCCCTGGGCCAAAGCAACAAAATCCCCAGCACTGAAGGAGAGCATGAAGCTCACCGACATAACAACCAGAGGTGAAAGAGACCAAAAACAAAGCCTTTAAGAAAACAATCTCAGACTGAAGGGGACATTGTAAAACGAGCAGAAGGAAGAAATGTACATGGTCCAAAGACAAAGCAGGCTCAGGCAGTGCATGAGAAGGCTGGATGCGAGACAGTGCCTGAGAAAGCTTACAAAACAAGGCTGAGGAAGTATCAACCCCGAACTCAAGCTGGAGCGGCTCTGACAGCACCGTACGATACAAGGCAACAGTACTGTATTTGGTATAAGAAGCCAATCCCGAAAAAAGCCAAGAAAAGACTGGACAGCTGAAACCGACACCAAAAAGCAAAGATGAAGTGAGAGGAAATGGTGAAAATTACACCACAAGACTTGATACTGTTGTCTCCTATCAGCGACGACAGCATGAAGTCTCGACCAACAAGCCAGCCACCTGATCACTATAAAAATGACAATAAACACGTGTCAGAAACTCCAAATACAAAGATTGGAGGAGAAGGCAGAACCAGCAAGATATGTCACGACCGATCTTCTGAAAGAGGTGGAACTGCTTGAAAATGACTGGGTTTGGACACCAAACTAATAGCACCCAAAACCAAGACTCAGCCTGCCACCAGGAAGCCAGAAGGATCACCCTCTATTGGTTTGATTCCAGCCTGGCCAAGACTTAGCGCAACAGCCGGACCTAGAGGGGGGAAAAGAGGTACAGGAACCCCTCATCTCTACCTGTCGAGCTAAAAAGCAACTACCACGAGAGTCTCGCATGTGGGAAATGGCACTGCGTAAAGAGGAAGGTGCAGTTGATGTCTAAATCTAGGTTCCAAATGCCCAGCAAAGCCAAAGGAAGGAGTCGGCGTCGACGGTGCACTCTGTGGAAACAGGAAGGAACTGGGACAGTCAGTCTGTGAGAATGTTGGACATTCCCTGGAAAAGAATGACTTGGAGAGCCAATCTCAAGAACTAGGAAAAAGAGTGTTACACAAAGCGTCCTGTCTTTGGTCTCTGTCTCCAATGAGACAGGGACCAAAGCAAACCTCCCTGTTGACAGTTAACCACGAGAAAACAGTCCAAATGTAGTATGGAGGAGAGTGAAACCTCTGCAGCACATGCCACACAGCCACAAATCTCAAACCGAGCCCAACGAAGGCGAAGAAACTAATGACCCTGGTGGGCTTAGTGAGTGCTGGTCACAAAGCCCCAATCCAAATCTTTGTGAATTTATGTGCATTCTATATTACAAAGACCAAAACTGAACTGTATTATCTAAATGAGGCTATCATCATTGTTTCAAATGCCTGTTTATTGTCAGCCATTCCTGAATTTTAGCCTTTCTTTCTGACTTGCTGCAACAATAGACCACAGCTACTTGGAGGAAAGGCTCTTCTCTAACTAGAGACTGCCATTGTTCTAACTCATGGGTTGATCCTTCTCTCAGGACTCGGTCCATTTGAAGGCTCTAATTGGGTAAAATTTGAGCTTCACCACCCTCGTCTCATGACATCTGGACAGCGAGAGACGATTACCAACAAATCCGAAGGCAGACTTGGTGATGTGTGACTTCTGAGATCCTCTTCCATTGGGTCTCTGATCTTGTGACATGACCGCTTGCTATCATATCATTGTTTCATGACATCATAGCAATACCAAGTTTCATTTTTTCTATTACAGTAGAACATTTCATAGGAATGTGTAACAATACTCAATATTGTAAGATAAAAATCCACACTTGTGTATTTGTGAAATTTATGTAAGGAAGTCTTTCGCACTCTCCTGAGTGTGATTAGGACGAGACTCACATCTCAACGTCAATTAGATGTTGAGATGCAAATCTCATCAATGTTGAAGAAAGAAGACTCCAGCTTCATAGAAGAAAGAAGACTCCACGACCCAAGAGCACAGCTGTCCTCGCCTCGTCGCCCCCGACACAAGACCCCGCCTCCTTGCCTAGACACCATGTTGTCGAGAGCCTCAGATCTGCCATGCAGCCGAGTATAGCTCTGGCTCTGTCTCTCTGACTTCAAAGTTTCCTCTCACCAACTATTCTACAGCTGTACCCACTTCCCCGCTCACCTGAAAGGGTATCTTGGCCTATATCTCGTTCGTCAAAGAGCAAACATGACTCAGAGGAGGCAAAGTGGTTGACTGCAGGCACTTTAACAGGTGCCAGTAAGTGCCCCTCAAGGTGTGCTAACCTCAAGAAGGGAATAGTGAAAATTAACATGCATTTTTCATCCAACAATGCAGATTACCGTTGTGGCTTTCACATTACATATTTAATAAGTGCAAGAATTTTCCAAATACAGTAACTGTTCTCTTGGATTAATTATCCTGGATCTTGAGCCACTCTAGATGACTGATACTAAGAGATATTCCTGGTTTTCTGTGCTGCTCTCCAGTGTGAAGTAATTATCAAAAGAAGGCACCAAGCTTGGAAGAATATTTAACCTTTGTTTCATGGGATACTCGGATCCTAAATATCACTCAACATGTCAATCCTACAGTAACAAAATATAAGGCAAGCAACATCCAAGTCTAGAGCATGAAAGGGATAGCTGATGTAGCTACAGAATTGCATTTTTTTTTTTTAATTGAATATGGTTATTTTACACAGGAAGGATGGATAACAATTAAATTTGACTCTTTTATTTGGAATGTCTAAACATTGCGAGTGATGTACAGGACAAAGGAAGATAGTTGACTAAACAGGGGTAACTCGTATTATTAGCTGCTTTTAAGCTAGATTTCAACAGTTTATATTAAATGTATTTTGATTATACACAGTATGAATAAATATAAATTGATCTAGTACAGAAGACTGTGCATATATATATATACTGTGCGTGTTTACACGTATTATATATATATATATATATATATATATATATTATATATATATATATATATATATATATATATATATATATATATATATATATATATATATATATATATATATATATATATATATATATATATATATATATATATATATATATATATATATATATATTAATGGGAGAAAACCTTGCTTAAAAATATGTACAAAAGTTATTTTCATACACTAATAAACAGTACAGTGGTACCTCGGTTTTCGTATTTAATCCTTTCCCAGAGACGGTACGAAAACCAAAATAAATTTTCCCATACGAAATTATATAAATTAAATTAACATATTTGGGGGTGTGGAACGGGTTAAGTAGAAAATACATTTTATACAAAATAATACTCTTGGGTACCATACCTTTATTGAGGACTCTTGCTGATGTATGGAAGACCATGAAGAAGGAGAGAGGAGGAGAGGTGTTAGTGTTTGGAAGCGGAGCACCCTTCCATTATAACAGCAGTTATATCTATATCTTGAGATGATTTCGGGGCTTTAGTGTCCCCGTGGCCCGGTCCTCGACCAGGCCTCCACCCCCAGGAAGCAGCCCGTGACAGCTGACGAACACCCAGGTACCTATTTACTGCTAGGTAACAGGGGCATAGGGTGAAAGAAACTCTGCCCATTGTTTCTCGCCAGCGCCCGGGATCGAACCCGGGACCACAGGATCACAAGTCCAGCGTGCTGTCCGCTCGGCCAACTGGCTCCCTACAGTGATGACATTTCTGGGGTACTTTCTTACATTTTGCAGGCATACCACTAGGACCCGGCTGTGGCTCACTGCTTGCTTGTCTTACTAAGAATCTGTCTATAGACACTTGTTTTTCCCTATGTTTTAACACTTGTCTGTAGTGAGACATCACATTGTCTCACTATGAATGGTCTCTTGTTTTTCCTCTATTGTCATCCTCACAACTATTTTCTTAGGTTGAACATTGCCACTGGCTTTCTTGGAACTCATGGCATGATATATAATAAGAATTTTTATGTTCAGAAACCAAAAAAGCACAAAAACACTGACATTTTTCACAAAGAATTTAAGCACGATCATAACTAGGCGGGAGACACCGGTAAACTGAAGCGTCACGCACTCGATGGACCCGTACGTGTATAAACAAACTCTTGAGAACCAAGGCAAACAACTAGTGCCGAATCGACTATTTCAAAGAAATTGAGTACGAGAACAGGGGACATACGAGAACTGAGGTTCCACTGTACTGTATATGGAAAAAACACAGCTAAATGAGATGAGAACTCAAACTTAGTACCTTGTAACATCATAGTATCCAAAACAGTGTATTTACTATTACAGTAAGGCCAGCCTTATAACAGAAGATGTGCGTCGACTATAACAGTGTGAGAGAGATTATCACAACGACATGAACCCCACCTTCAATACACACTGTCAGTAATTTCAAAGCGTTACATGACGGAGTGCTGGAGAGACAAGATACCACGAGCGTAGCTCTCATCCTGTAACTATACTTAGGTAATTACACAGAAATCACAATATGTAGTGTGATATATCAAATGAACAAATCCACAAGGGCTCATCACAGCCCTTGTGGATTTGTTCATTTGATATATCACACTTATTGTGATTTCTGTGTGTAGTGAAGTAAGGGCATAGAGGTAGAACATCTGGTTGACAGAACCCAGGTACATGGGCTGAAACAATTGTGTGAAACCTCGGTTGTGCTTCGGAGAAGTTTTGGGATCCTTGTGAGTGCAGTAGTATTCCAGGTTGCAATTCAGTTACCATGTCGTGGTACAATTGACTAAGGCGCATCTGGGAAAATCCCATGCATAGGTTCGAACCCTCATCACAGCCCTTGTGGATTTGCCCACCTTTAACCATTTGGCTGCACAATTAGATTTCCGAGGGATTTTGCCAAAGGCTCTTCAATCATAGAAAGCTTTTCAAGAAGCGCTCGGTCATCATCAGTTGGGCGTAATGTGTCGAGCACACTTCATTCACTATCAAAGAGCACAACTGTGTGGAATATTTCATTCACAATTGAGGAGCATGAATGCTGCATGGAATATTTCATTCATAATCAGGGACCATGACTGCTGCTTGGAATAGTTCATTCATAATCAGGGAGCACCGCTGCTAAATGGAGTATTACATACATTCATAATTTGGAAGCATGAGTGTTGCAGTCATAATCAGGGAGCCCAATAACTTCATGGAAATTATGTACATAATCAGGGAGCATGGCAGCTTCATGGAGCATTAGTCATAATCTGGGAGCATGACAGCTTCATGGAGCATTACAGTCATAATCTGGGAGCATGACAGCTTCATGGAGCATTACAGTCATAATCTGGGAGCATGACAGCTTCATGGAGCATTACAGTCATAATCTGGGAGCATGACAGCTTCATGGAGCATTACAGTCATAATCTGGGAGCATGACAGCTTCATGGAGCATTACAGTCATAATCAGGGAGCATGACAGCTTCATGGAGCATTACAGTCATAATCTGGGAGCATGACTGCTTCATGGAGCATTACAGTCATAATCTGGGAGCATGACTGATGCACAGAGCTTTACACTCATAATCAGCGAGCAAAATTGCTGCATGGAATTGATTTCGGCAGACTTAAGTTACAACATTGACTCAAATTCTCCAAGACATAAGCCAATGCATTAAATTAATAACAAAATTATTATGAATATGGTAAATAAATAGTAGTTTATTTTTGCAGCAAAAGCAGTTAAGCAGCATAACCAGTGTACCTAATAGACAATAGCTGCACATTTTTCTGGAGCGAACACAGCTGCAAGTATAATAAATACTTCATTATACAGTACTAGTATTCTAAAAATTTTAAAATGAAACTTGGCATAACGCCCTAAATTATTACACATTAAAATTTCGTCATAATGTTAAAGCAAATAAATACAAACTCTACATCTCGTACTGGTCACAAAGGCATAGAATTTTCTTGCGGCACTGGAAATAATATACAGTACTGCCAAAATATGATTATGGGCACAGTACATCAAACATGTCAGTGTGTGGAACATTCTGAAAGCAAATATTTTTAATATGCATATAATTACAGTATTTTGAATGTGTTCCCACTACCTCTTTCACTCGACTTTCCTTACTACATATACTGTACAGACACACTGTTTATAAACTTTCACGGTGTTGTGTATAAAATATGCACAGAGAGAAAAATCATAACGTACGTGAACAACAGTAACCCAGCCCACACGTGCGCGAAATTAAATGAAAGCAATGATGGTTCGGCTCATCCTGGACCCTTGTCAAGTCGTAATAGGTACAGTATTAGTAAAAAATAAAATTTGTAATGCATTAAATTACAAAAGTAAAGAATTATATCAGTATGTAACTTGAACCATGTGCTGCCCTCGTGGATACTTCAAGATAAACAAGCTTTACTTAACTTAAAAGCGTCATGTGTAATAAGACACGGAATGTGGTTCCATCATGCTGCTTTTCGCTATGGACCACAAAGATTAATACTTTACATAATAACTGAAATGTATAGCAGAACATTATATCTTTACTTTAACACATCTATTCATATAATGTGAATTTATCAGTTCAGGATTTTAATGTTTGTATGGTGTTCTCATTTCATATAGCAGATGCATCCTGACCACACACATTTTGTTGGCCATTGTGCTGTGCTCTCTCAAGCAATTTATCAATCACAAGTAGATTTTGTCCAGGTAGTTTTGAAGCATTTCAACCCATGGTTGAATGTCTACAACATTCAGGCTATGAAAGATTACATTTGCCCTCAGTAGATGATGATCAAAATGATCCACAGTACTGAAAAAAATATTGAATTTCATTACAAATCTATACAGTACAGGGTATACACAATTTATATTTGTCAATACAGTATATCAATCATTGTATTTTAAATAGTAATCTGCATCTTTAAAAGAAAGTCTTTATGCTTGTCTATCCAAGGTTGGAGGCCAAACTTTCCCATGCAAAGCATGTGGAGTATGAGAGTTTCATAGGCCAGTTGTGATCAGCTCCTGTGACACACTTTTAGAAATATAGGCATCTACCTAACCCCCTTGGACCCTGTATGATTACTGAAATATTGGTTGTGTTGCCCATAGAATTACTTAGCAGCTTCTGCAATTCATTACACAAATTTTAGGGGTTGAGTGGAGATGTTTGAAGATTGGAAGGAGAGAGGGAAAAAAGGTGAAGGGAAAGAAGGGAGAAGTGCGGAAGGGGGGAGAGAAAAGAGAACCTAGAGAAAACGAGGAGAGGGATGGGCACAGCTGGCTACCCTCACTCTAATGTATAACATTCCAGTCTAAGTTTGACCTATGCTCTATAGCACAATAACTTGAGCAACAATCTGGCACTGAGCACATACACAACACTTTGTTAACATGCCAGAACACTGGATTTTTATTTTTACAAATTTTGCCATTCATGTACATGTAACTTAACACTCCTGCTAAAGAAGACAATATTTACTTTTCTTATTTAATGTTCGTCACCGCTCTTCATAAACACTGCGACAATTGTGTGCGTTATGCTCTCAAAAAATACAGTCACAGAGAAAGGCCATGCCAAAGATTTTGTGACCATAATGTCTACCACGTCAGGACCATTACACTTGCAGGTGGCCATTGACTGCAAGTATCTATCTTACCTAATCGCACAAATATAAGCCCACCACATCAGTGAGTTTTTCAAGCCTTCGAAAATTAACTGTTGTCGTCAGGAGTACTACAAGCCATTCTCTATAGTTTCTCCTAAATTATTTATTGAACTGATTTCCCAACATATTTAAAGGAAAACCCTTGAGTTAAAGAATGTTGGGTGTGCTCAAGTTGATGAGACTGGTTCATTTACACTATTTTAAGGTGTAATCTTGAAATGGTGTAAAAATATGCCTTATTTCTCGAAAATAGGGCAAAGATCAAGCCCTATCTTCAAACAAATATAATTTAAAGGGCCTGACCCTGAGAAATACTGACAATGTGGGTTTAATCTATTTATAGTCAGTTTCTCCTGGTAGTTGTCCATCATACAAACGATTTAAATTAAACCTCGACTCTGTGAAACCTGCCTTAGTTTTTCCCTGTGCTCTTTGGGAATGAATGTTAACCCCTTTAATATAGCTGTAATCATGTTAATCATTTTTGTATATTTGTTATTTTTATATATGAGAATTTTTACATTCTTGTACAGCCACTAGCACACACACAGCATTTCAGGCAGGTCCATAATACTAATTTTTCCCTGGAATATGACCCGCCAAATCGTTTAACAACCAGGTACCCATCCACTGCTGGGTGAACAGAGGCTACAGTTAAGGATTGGCGCCCAGTCAATCCTCCCTGGCCAGGATACGAACCCAGGCCAAAATGCTCATGAAGCGCCGGGCGAGTGCTTTACCACTGTGCCATGAGGACTGTCACTATATATATAAGACTTGTATAGATATAAGTCTAACAGGAGCCTTTGAAAAACCACTGAGCATATTTAAAATAATAATATATAATTTTTATTTTATTTTGAATCTATACTATTTTTGTTCACTATGATATGGGCCCAGCTAAATATGTTAAAGTTTCTTTACAGATACGCTACCTTCTCCTGCTAGCTGTCCATCATATGATTAGAAAGTAATATTTAAACCCAGTGAAATTTACTCAGAGCATGGGAAATATTAGATCTTATCTTGAGGTTATCTTGAGATGATTTCGGGGCTTTTTAGTGTCCCCGCGGCCCGGTCCTCGACCAGGCCTCCACCCCCAGGAAGCAGCCCGTGACAGCTGACTAACACCCAGGTACCTATTTTACTGCTAGGTAACAGGGGCATAGGGTGAAAGAAGCTCTGCCCAATGTTTCTCGCCGGCGCCTGGGATCGAACCCAGGGCCACAGGATCACAAGTCCAGCGTGCTGTCCGCTCGGCCGACCGGCTCCCAAGTGATGTGACTAGACCAAGTGACCGGCTAGATGTGAATAGTAACTTTTTAATATGGATCTAATCATATTTTTTAATATTTTTGTAGATGAACAGATGGTAAAAGAAACAGATGGTATCTTGGCAAAGCCATTGAGCATATTTAAAGCAAAATTATAAGGCTTCATTATTGTTTTGAGTTTTATATAAAAACTATAGAATATTTAGTGAAAATTAGCTAAAGAAGTGCAATTATCAGAAATCTTGATTTCATGCAAATCTAAATCAGGTCTGGAACATTATGATCTGGATTTTGGAGGTGCCAGTGTATGTGTCACTCATGAACACAGTTGTAGCTGTTAACGACAATTACAATCTTCAGATAAACCCAGGCTCTCCTCCAATTAAAATACGAGTACAAAGTCAAGTCAAACTAAATTTAACAAGGACCTTATTTTCCCAGCCAGCATATACCAGCACACCAGTCTCCGTGGTGTAGTGGTAAGACACTCGCCTGGTGTTCCACGAGCGCTTTGTCATGGGTTCGTATCCTGGCAGGGGAGGATTTACTGGGGCGCAAATCCTTAACTGTAGCCTCTGTTTAACTTAACAGTAAAACCAGCGTTGAATGTAATGAAACGCCATTTTCTGGGTGAGACCCGGAGGCTCCCCGGAGCTTTACCGGCTGATATGCTAATGTCAGACTTTGGCATCAGTCATGTGTATGGAGTTCTAGGGCCTACCGGGGACCACGAGCCAGAACCTGGCCCCCTCAGAGAGGCAAGGGGAGCAATGGCCTATAGAAACCCCCGTGTGGTTGGAAGCATTCTATGTCTGCCATCGACCGGGTCAAGCATCCAGAAAGGTAAGCATTCCAAAACAAACCCCTATTCTGGTGAAAATTGCTACCTAAGCCGAACTAGTGAATAGAACTCTTCAACAGAAAACAAGGAAACTAGTATGACGTCATACGTCACCGCGCCGCTGTCTGCGCAGCTCCCCCCTCCCCGGGAGGGGGAAGGGGGATCCCCAGACCTCCCACGCCGGCTATCCACCCATCAGTTCTGAGGCTGGATGTCAAAACACGCGAAAAACGCCGACCGGAGGGAGGGAGGGTTGCCGGGGAGCCTCCGGGTCTCACCCAGAAAATGGCGTTTCATTACATTCAACGCTGGTTTTCTGGGGGGAGCCCCGTCGGCTCCCCGGAGCTAACTACCCACAGAGGAAGGTCAAAGGGACAAAACCGGGAGGCGGACACCACGCACCCCCCAAGGAGGCGAGACAACCGGCAGCAAACGCCAACCCAAGGCGCCACAGCCCCGAAAATCCCGGGAACAACACGAGAACCACGAGCAGCAAGGCCCCTGCACGAACACCAAAAATCCATGCCCGAAAGACTGCAAGGCCACGTCGCCCAGACGGCAGCGAGAGCAGCGAAGCCACGAACGCCACAGGCATGAGGGAAGAACACAGGCAGCTTAGCCGCAAGAACACGGCTGACCACCCGGGACACCATCACTCGCGAACCGGGAAGAACAGAACCGGATCAACGCAAAACGCGCTCCGGACCCAAACGCCGTGGCACGCAAACGACAGCGGAGGGCCGCCACTGAACACAAAAACGACACACCCCCGGCCCGACCAACGAAGCACCAACAAACCCTGGACCCCTCCAGAATGCAGCAGCCCCACCCCGCGCCAGAAAAGATGGAGACTGCTGCCATCAAACAACCAAAACGCTAAAACCGAAGGAGCAAGAAAACTCAGCGAACCGACCCCCAGAGGCAAAGGCCCAAAGGAAAGAGCCGACGAAAAAACACACCGGAACCGAAGGGGCACTACCAACCGAGGAGAAGACAGAGCACGCTGACCAGAGACCAGGATGGTGCAAGCGGCGCACGAACAGGCCGGAGGTGAAATGACGCACAAGACAGCTGACTAACGGTGCAGAAGCAACACCAAGACCGAAAGCAAGCTGAAGCGGCTCCGCCTGCGCCGCACGAAAAGAGGCGACAGTATGTGGCAAGACGACGGCCCCCAACCCCCACTAGAAAACCAAGCCGAGAGTAAACCAAGCTAACAAGAGGAACCACCTAAGAAGGGACAGGAAAAGGAAGGACCGCCAAAATACCCCATACTGCCGCCAAGAGAAGCACGCAGGTGGGACACCTACCACGAAGCCACCCGACCACCAACCGGAGGCAAGACCACGAGGTAGAACATAAGCAGCCCCGACAAGGCCCCCCCGAGCCCAGGAAAAAGGCGGAGCCGCGAGAAGATCTCAGGCGCGACCACCGAAACCCAGGCGGCACAAGGAGATGGAACGTCTACCGAACAGAAAAACTCCCCGAAGCATGCAAGCCCGCCAGGAGTTCAGAAACGACGGGTCCGACGCGAGACATCGCAAGAACCCCCCCCAAAAAAAAAAAAAAAAAAAAAAAAAAAAAAAAAAAAAAAAAAAAAAAAAAAAAAAAAAAAAAAAAAAAAAACAGCAGGGCAAGCTAGGAAAACCAAAGAAGGCGGAAGGGTCGCCGCCAGAACAGGACCCGAACCAAGGGGCACGAACAACTGCAACAGACCGAGACAAAGAAGCACATCACAGGACACAGGCTGACCAACGCCTAAGAACACACGCAGAACATCCCTGCTGCAGAGGAGGCAGGAAGAAAGAGCAGAAGCACAAAAAAAAAAAAAAAAAAACCAGGAGAACAACCAGGGGTGGACAATCAGGCAGGGACAAAAACCCCACGCAATCCCCAGGCACAAAACGGCAGCAAAGTGCCACTCCACAACCGGACACAGGAACAAGGACACGCCACCGTGAAACACGGTACCAATGCACACGTGCAGCAGCAGCAACAGGCACCACTGCAACATGCAACATGTAAATAGCAACTCCCCTCTGCAAAGGCAGAGAACGGAGCAGGCAGACCCCAGACAGGGCCAACGGAGACACGACAAAACCCTGCAGGCCCAGAAACCTGCACCAGGCGACCGACGGCGGAGAAACCCCGCTCGATACCTGCTGGATGAGGTACTGGGAGCTCTTTTACACCTCAAGCCCGGCCCAAGAGCAGGCCAGACCGGCCAGAGGATGGCCCACCAGGCAGCTGCTAGGAGCAGTCCACCGGCCCACATACCCCCACAACCAGGACGGGCCGGAACTGCCATACGAAAACAGGCCAGTGCGCCCTGGAAGTCCACGGACGAACCAGCAAGAAGGCTTATGCTCGCAAGTAGGTCGTGTAACAAGCACTACCTAGAAAACAGACACCACACTCTAGGTACAGTGCTGAAACAACCACTGGAGCCGGAGCACATAACCATTGCCTATAGCATCAGCCGAAGAACTGATGGGTGGATAGCCGGCGTGGGAGGTCTGGGGCTCCCCCTTCCCCCTCCCGGGGAGGGGGGAGCTGCGCAGACAGCGGCGTGGTGACGTATGACGTCATACTAGTTTCCTTGTTTTCTGTTGAAGAGTTCTATTCACTAGTTCGGCTTAGGTAGCAATTTTCACCAGAATAGGGGTTTGTTTTGGAATGCTTACCTTTCTGGATGCTTGACCCGGTCGATGGCAGACATAGAATGCTTCCAACCACACGGGGGTTTCTATAGGCCATTCCTCCCCTTGCCTCTCTGAGGGGGCCAGGTTCTGGCTCGTGGTCCCCAGTAGGCCCTATAACTCCATACACATGACTGATGCCAAAGTCTGACATTAGCATATCAGCCGGTAAAGCTCCAGGGAGCCGACGGGGCTCTCCCCAGAAAATGGGTACTGTACTTGGTTGTAACAATGATTCTTTGCAGTGGGGATCGTATTCCAGGGACCTGCCTGAAACGCTACGCGTACTAGTGGCTCTACAACCATGTAACAACTCTTGTATATATATCTCAAAAAAAAAAAAAAAAAAAAAAAAAAAAAAAAATATATACAAATGTGCATTTTTATCAGGTCATACTGTAGTATTAGTATTATCATCATTATCCCAATTACTTTTCTTACCTCAGATATTTGCGAGTTCTGCGCACTACTTCCTGCCAGCCAACACTGACGACTCTAAATGCTGGAAACGCTCTACCAGAGGAGTATATACCTGCACAGATTTAAGAAAAATTAATAAAGAATGATTTTGGAAAGTATTAAGCATATTTTGAATTTACAGTTTTGTTTAATGCTGTGAATGATTAATATGCAGGCATCTCCAACTTAGAAAAAGAGAGGCATTCAATAAACTGGCATCGAATGTAATGATCAGCAATTTCTGGGTGCGTCCTGGTGGCTCTCAAACGCTACCATATCTGATGTAGGTGACATCAGTCGTGGAGTTCCTTGACCCACCAGGGACCCAGAGTCAGAACCTGGTCCCCCTCACAGAGGTGCAGGGAGCCATGGCATTTACATATCGGATTATTCGTTTATGCCACCACCGAGGATGGCACCCAGAAAGTCTGAATCAAAACGAACCACAGCTGGCTGCCTCCGAGACCTACAGACTTAAAAACAACCATAGAACTCTACAAACTACGTAAGCAAATGATCAAGAATGAAATAAACTAGCGCCCACTCGTTCGCCCCACCCTCCCACTCGTTTGGGGAAAGAAGGGGACAGGCCACATCTCACACACTACTCCACTGTCAGTTTAACGAATGGTGCAAGAGACCCAACTTCCTGGGGAAGGAAAAGTGTAAGGTGCCCCCACACACAACTGTGCAAGGAACAGCCACCAAGGCAAAAGAAAAACAAAGGGGGTCAGAGAAGGGTGGCAGACCCCAGCACACATCAAAAGGAAAACTGACGGTGGGGCAGCCTGTGAGCCGTGGCCTGCCCCCCCCCCCCCTGAAATGAGGCGGAGGGTGGGGTGAACACGTGGGCACTAGTTTTCTAACTTTTCTTCAAACATTTGTTTACACAGTTTGGTGAGTTCTATGGCCATTTTAAACCTGCAAGACGGGACACCACAAACATAGCTCCCATCCTCTAACTACACTTAGGTAATTAAACACACACCTACCTTATCAGCATCAGAATTTGGTTTGCATGCCAGTTTGAAGTCTTGTTTCTTAATTACTTCCTGGAACGTACCACCCACCATCCCGTGTTTCGCCCTATAAGCGGAGCCCAGACATGCTGAATTAGCAACCTCCTAGAATTGAAAACAGTATAGTATTTTGTTTAGTTTCACAAATAAACATTCTTAACAAATACAAAAATAACTTTTCAATAAACCAGAATTGAATGTAATGAAATGCCTCCTTGGCATAGAAATGCCAAAGTATCTTGCCGAGATTGCGCTATACTAAAAGATTACATCAGTCGTGGTAGTCCAGTTTGGTCTACTGGGGACCAGGGCCCAGATTCACAAAGCAGTTACGCAAGTACTTACAAACGTGTACATCTTTCCTCAATCTTTGACTGCTTTTGTTACATTTATTAAACAGTTTACAAGTATGAAAACTTTCCAATCAACTGTTGTTATTGTTATAAACAGCCTCCTGGTGCTTCGGAGCTCATTAACTGTTTAATAATGTAAACAAAGCCGCCAAAGATCGAGTAAAGATGTACACGTTCGTAAGTACTGTACTTGCGTAACTGCTTCATGAATCCGGGTCCAGAGCCAGAACCTGGCCTCCTACCCACACAATAGGGGCAGGGAGCAGGTGACAATTCACTGCCCCGCCACAAAAAGCCTCCAGAAAGTCAAGTCATTGAAGCTTTACTGCCAACTGGAGAGATTATAGCAAACCTAGGACAAAAAGAACCCAGGCTAGGACACAGAAAAGGAGGCGATATGATCACCACTTACAAAATACTAACAGGAATCGACCAAATTGACAGAGAAATTCCTGAAGCCAGCAACTTCAAAAACAAGAGGACACAGATTCACGCTAAGGAAAATAAGGTGCAGAAAAATTATAAGAAAGTTTTCTTTTGCAGAGTGGTAGATGGTTGGAACAAGTTAGGTGAGAAGGTGGTGGTGGTCAAAACCATCAGTAGTTTCAAAGCGTTATATGACAAAGAGTGCTGGGAAGATGGGACACCACAAGCATAGCACTCATCCTGTAACTACACTTGGGTAACTACACTTAGGTTGTTACAGCTCAATGTTGTAATGCATGCACACATGACTGACTGGGACCAAGACCATACCAGACCAGGAACTGGGACCAGGAAGCCACAAGGGGCTTTCCCCTGAAATGCCTTGGTTCAGACACTGGGCCAGGAACGATGGAAACCATGGCTAGGCTGGCCATCAGAAAGCCAGATGGGTCACTTTCCTTGAGTACAACTTCAGACTGGACAGGACCCACAACAACAACTGAACTGGGGAAAAAAGGTAATAGAACCTCCACATCAACCAGTCTATTCAAAAGGCATTCAATATAAGAGGCTCACAACTGGGAACGCAGCTACGTGGGGGGGGAAGGTGCCGATTCTACACCAATGCAATGAAGTCCACCTTGAGGCAACCGATCAAGCAAAACTAATAGAAGAGCATGTCATCGACAGTCCACTTGGTGGAAATGGGATGGAAATGAGATAGCACATCCACGAGAATATTTGGCACACTCTGCATGTGACCTATGTGAAGAACCAAACCCCAAGAAACTAAAGGCCGAGCTACCTAAAATGTCCAGCTCCACAGGGCAATGGACCAAAGTGATGCCACCTAGTTCAGGCAATGAACCACTGGGCAACAGTCAAAGTGAAGCCGGAGTACGGAGCACAAAGGAAGCCTAATCCTCCTTAAGGTATGCAGTAAAGCTGCAAACTAGAGTACCCTGCAGTGCTCCTAATGAAACCGGTTGGACCACGAACCCCGGGCAGCCAGGTGAGCACTGGTCATGATGCCCACACCCACGGGTGAGGTGTCTGAAGACATTAAGTTATAGGGGGAGGATGGCACCAGGGTACTCAATTCTAAAAAAAAAAAAATTGCCAGTCCTGGGAGCAGTGAAATTGGCAGAAACAGAAAAACCAATACAACACTTGTAGACAAATCCTGCCCAGAGGAAAGACAATGCATTGTTGGTTGTTGGTTGCAAACTAAAACAATGAAATTAAACTGATTGCAACATGACAAATGTTTAATTATATTTTGTTGACATTATTTATATAAAATAATTTTACTTGAGCAATGAATCAACCCGTTCTCGCAAATTTAATAAGTCAATATTGACTTATTAAATATGTGCATAGGTGACATACTTAACATAATAGATACCCTTAAAAAGATTCATAGAAAACACCGACCTTACCTAACCTTGTTAGTATCTTAAGATAAGCATCTTATTGCTTCGTAATTACAATTATTACCTAACCTATAATAGGTATAGGTTAAGTAATAATTGTAATTACGAAGCAATAAGATGCTTATCTTAAGATACTAACAAGGTTAGGTAAGGTCGGTGTTTTCTATGAATCTTTTTAAGGGTATCTATTATGTTTAGTATATCACCTATGCACGTAGTTAATAAGTCAATATTGACTTTACGAATTTGCGAGAACGGGTTGAATGAATATATGCTGACAATCATGGCAAATTTCCTACCATGTATAATAAGGTATGAATATTTAATGACAAATTTCTTCAAGGTAGGTAGACAGTACTCCAATTAGTTGAGTAAAGTATATGTCTCACAAGCTAAGCTAAACAGACCTTCACACCAGCTTGTTAACTCACCATTGTGTACACGGGAGAGTTGAACACATCAGCCAAAACTTGTAAGACGCTGTTGTTATTTGACGCTCCACCAGTGGCCAGTACTCGCGTTCCGCTGCCTGTAAGTGACTTATATTCTGATTATCTACAAGACAATATATTTCCTAATTTGCAAACAGTAAGTCACAACAACATGGTTGAAAATTAGACACTTGACTCCACACACCCGAAAATAAAGGAAGTGGCGACATTTCTATCCAACCCTGACTATTACATGACTTCATAATGGTCCAGGACGGTCCAAAATGTTGTCACTTTATTTTTCAGATGTGTGGGTGAGTGTTTTGTATGTTTGAAAACTATAGCTACCAAATTTTCACATGGCCACTTTATACCCCATACAAAACCCAGCATTGAATGCAATGAATTGAAATGCAATTTCTGGGTGAACCCCAGCAGCTCCCTAAAGCTAAATACCCATAGAGAATGTTGACCAGACCACACACTAGAAGGTGAAGGGACGACGACGTTTCGGTCCGTCCTGGACCATTCTCAATCGACTTGAGAACGGTCCAGGACGGACCGAAACGTCATCGTCCCTTCACCTTCTAGTGTGTGGTCTGGTCAACATACTTTAGCCACGTTATTGTGACTCATCGCCTCAATACCCATAGAGAATTCAAAATGGGTACTTACAAGGAAGGAGCATCGCAGGTATCACAACAAAATCGAGACACTCGGTCGTGACACACAACCCAAAGCTACACAAGGGCGCCAAGAACTGGTAACATTGACATGATACCTGGTCACTAAGACCCAGTTCGACCAGCAAAACCATTGCGCCTGAATATCACCCCTGGACATAGTCGCAAAGACAGCCAAGAGAGAGGAATATTTCCAAACATCATGGGTGTGATGGTAGACCACAGGCTGGCTGGACTTAATGACATTACAGATGACCTGAGAAAGATGAACAGGGGACCAAGGAAATCAGATTAACCCACAAAGAATCCACCAAGGCAAAACCGGTGGCACAAATGGAAGCAGCAAAGGTCCGGCACTGGGGACGACGGTCGGTAAGACTACTGCAGGCAGGACACCAATTCAGCCACCTACTTGCCATACAGATGATGATAAAGACGTATCAGAAAGACCAGATGCATAGACCCGAGGAGAAGGTTGAACCAGTGAGATATGTCACTGGACTGATCTTCTGAAAGAGGAGCCACAGAAAAAGCACCCAGATTCAGACACCGATTAAACGGCACCCAAAACCAAGGCTGAACCAACCACCAAGGAGCCAGAAGAACTATCTTTTCCTGGTAGGACTCCAACCTGGCCAGAACCAAGAGCAACAGCTGGATGGGGAAAAAGAGGTAAAGAAATGCCCACCTTGACCAGTCCAGTTGAAAGGCATCCACTGTAAGGGCCATGCAATTGGGGAATGGAGTCGTATAGTGTAAAGGGTTGATTCCAAGCTAACTCAAGGAGATCCACCTTAGTCTGCATGTCTTGTAAAGTCACTGGAAAGAAGCAGTATCAACAGTCCATTTCATAGAGATGGGAAGGAAGCAAGACCGTGAGAGCATTGTACACACAGTAAACGTGAACAGTACGGAGAACCAAACACTGAGAATCCAGTAGACAAGCGACCTGCAGCATCCAGTTCCAAAGGGCAAGGGACCAAAGGGAGTCCCCTTCAGTTAAGCCAATAAACCACTGGGAAACAGTCCAAATGAAGCCGAAGTTTGAGCCCAGAGAAATATGAATACTCTTCAGGGCATGCCATACAGCCACAAACTCCCACATGTGCTGTTCGCACAATGGAACAGACCCAGTCAATGACCCTGGGCGGCCTGGTGAGTGCTAGTCATGAAGCCCCAGTCCAGAACCTATGCATCTATAGAAACATCAAATGAGGGTAAAGGAAGGCACCAAGAAATTCAACCCTGAAAAGCCCAAAGAAGCAACTGGTGAAGCAGCAATCAACAAAGGATGATTGAGGCCTGAACCCAAAAGTTGAGCTACAGGAATACCGGTAAAAGGCTCAAAACCAGATAAACCAGAAGAATCTCTGATGCCACACACTACCCTGTGAAAAAAAAATGACAAAGGCACAGTTCAAGCTCCAGTATATAAGAGTGACTCTGGGTCATCTCAACACCAGTAAATGGCATGGCTGCTGCAGGAGCAGTCACTGGAGGAAGGGAAAGTGATGCACTGAGAGACCTATACAAGGCCCAGCTAAGTCCAAACCTAAACGGAACAAAACTGAGACTTCCACCAGTTCAGCAGTAACCCAAACCTGGTGAGCTGAGAAAGAACAAAGTCCTGGCTAGCAGATACACTGAATGACTAGGGGCTCATACCCACCAGTCCTCAAGGTAGGCCAGAACACGAACCCTCAACAAATAAAGACAAGCCACCACAACTTGAGCCAAATTTGTTGACCAATCCACCCACTAGAAAATGAAGGGACGACGACGTTTCGGTCCGTCTTGGACCATTCTCAAGTCGATTGTCTAGGACGGACCGAAACATCGTCGTCCCTTCATTTTCTAGTGTGTGGATTGGTCAACATACTTCAGCCACATTATTGTGACTGCAATTGAGCCAATTTGGTGAAAACACAGGAAGCCAGAGTCAAACTGACGGGAAGAACCCTGAAGCGGCAAGCTTGATACCCCATGACAAAAGCTACCCAATTCCTGAACCTCGGGAGTATATGCCAGTAAGCATCCCTGAGGTCTAGAGAAATCAAGGCCAAGCCTCCAACACAAGGCAAACCTGGGTCAGAGTGTTCATGTCAAAACTGGAGCAGAGAATGAATATGTTCAACCCTGAAAGATTGAAAATGCAGCAGAGCTCTGTTGAGTACCATTTTGAGACCAGGAAGAGATGAGACACTAAGCGAAGAGCAATGGTCGTTACAACCACTTCTTTCTAAATGTTAGTCAAATCCAGTTAGTTTCCAGAATGATATAATCTAGATTTTAGAGAGTACACTGGACTGATAATGGATAAAAGTAAATAATTTTATATGTAAAATAAAACAACATATATGTACTATATTCTAAACAGAATATGAAACTGTACACTCATTATCACTAGCAAAATGCAGTATACAGTTCATGCAGTATTTCTTACCTATGTTAAATCCCAACTTTTCTGCATACACTCGTTTGGCAACCAGCTGGCCTTCAACTAGTGCTCGAACCTCTACTTCTTGACTTGTAAAACGTGACACGGCATCATCTGCCTTATTGAAGCGGAAGACGCCTTCAAGATCAGGTGTGATTTCACGCATGTGATAATATATACCTAAGGAGAGAATGATTTTTAAATATTCATAGCACACTGAACTTTGAGAATATAATGGCCTGAATATAAGATAACCAAACCCTACACCAGAAGATAAGATGACGTTTCAGTTTGTCCTGGACCATTATCAAGTCGATTGCTAATGGTTCAGGATGGACCGAAACGTCGTCGTGTCTTCATCTTCTGGGTGTGTGACTTGGTCATCACATCTTCAGCCATGTTATTGTGACTCATCATCTGCACCTAAATATAAACCGGTTAGATTTATACCGACTCGTCCGCATCTCATTAGTTACGTGAAAGGACAATAAATGCCAAACTTAAAATATTGACAGTACTGTATATGGTATACAAACACCTCACTAGAAGGTGAAGGAACGACGACATTTTGGTCCGTCCTGGACCATTCTCAAATTGACTTGAGAATGGTCTAGGACGGACCGAAACGTCGTCGTCCCTTCACCTTCTAGTGTGTGGTCTGGTCAACATACTTTAGCCACGTTATTGTGACTCATCGCCTGCACAAATACCTCACTATCTGCATTTTGACATATATATACACGAGTTGTTACATTCTTGTTTCATACATCCTGTACATTAGTACAGTTTCATATTTTACCATTAATAGTAATCTACTAGAGTACTGCTACACTTCACCAATATCAGTGTATTAGCATCAAATGGAAAATATTTGTTATATTACACAAAAATTCTGTAGGTAAACTACGGCTGGGAAATCAAGTTTGAAATTAAGAAGCCTAACCATAAGTAATTTATTGATTTCAGCAGATAAAATCCACCAGGAAAACTGCAGAAACATTAGTCCATCTTTTATCATCATGAGAGAATGATCAGAAGTAAATCAGATACTGAAATGAGAAGCTGTGCTGTTGACTAAGACACGATCCATTCACGATGAAAAAGAATAAGAGGGGGAGACTCTTATCATTTCTGCTCATCAAGAGAGCAACACATTCATGACTGATTCATAGCATGTATACTAGGGAGCCGGTCGGCCGAGCGGACAGCACGCTGGACTTGTGATCCTGTGGTCCTGGGTTCGATCCCAGGCGCCGGTGAGAAACAATGGGCAGAGTTTCTTTCACCCTATGCCCCTGTTACCTAGCAGTAAAATAGGTACCTGGGTGTTAGTCAGCTATCACGGGCTGCTTCCTGGGGGTGGAGGCCTGGTCGAGGACCGGGCCGCGGGGACACTAAAAAGCCCCGAAATCATCTCAAGATAACCTCAAAATAGAAGAACAGCCTATATTTCTGAAGCCAGAACAGAATTTTCACACAATCCCCCCCATGAACTCTGGCTCTGTCATCTAGGAATGTTCTACCTCTGACGCTCTCTTTCAATACACAGAGTTATCACACTAATGTGACTGTATCAATGCGAAAATTCGTAGGAGCCTTTATGAGGGTTCGAACCAATGCGGTGGATGTTTCCACCGGTTCGAATCCTTATTACGGCTTCCTCATACTTCCCAACACATGCATTCTGGTCTCTTTCTCATTGATGCAATCATGTTAGTGTGATAACTCTGTATAATAATAATAATAATAATACAGTAATAATAAAGTTTATTTAGAGAAAGTACACATGCATTCTGGTCTCTTTCTCATTGATGCAATCATGTTAGTGTGATAACTCTGTATAATAATAATAATAATACAGTAATAATAAAGTTTATTTAGAGAAAGTACACATGCATTCTGGACTCTTTCTCATTGATGCAATCATGTTAGTGTGATAACTCTGTGTAATAATAATAATACAGTTATAATAAAGTTTATTTAGAGAAAGTACATACAAAATGAGTTACAAGAAGAATGTTGGATTTCTAGATAGAGCAAGTATATACTATGCCTAAAGCCACCAATACACACACTGCGTTTTGGGCAGAAGGATTAGTGATATAACTGGCTGGCAAGTTGGCAGAGGAGTGAGCTTAGGGCCACCTAGTACCGGTAATTGATATTAACAAGTTCGAGTTAGTTTTGAGTGAATTATCTTGCTTGTTTAAATTGTTAGACAAGATGTTTGGCAGTTTCAAGGATTCACTTCTTTTGAACCCAGCAGTTGTCTGTAAAGCTTCGCAGACTTTTCCGGTGCTTTCCCAGTGACAATGCAGGATGTCATTTGCTCTCTGCACTTGTGAGGTGGTTCAGATTCTGGTCTCTGGTTAGGCCAAACAGAACTCCTGTGGCCTATGTAACTTTTGAAGAATGGAGCAATTTCAGTGACCTAGCCACAGGAAGCCACCAAGGGACTCCCCAAGGATATATGTAACATTTAGACTAATACATCAATTCATTTCCGCGTTTTACAAATGTTCACCTAAATGATTTGCTTAAATACAATAGTTTAAAAAAAAAAGAAATGACATAATACCAATATTTCCGAAATTGCCCCGCGGAGTCATGTCCAGCAACTGGCTGAAGAGGTCCCAAGAGCCGTCGGCGCACTCGTCTCGAATTTTTTCGCGTGTCAGAGATCCATTTTTGAAGCTGAAAAACAAATACATGATATATATTTATAGTTTTGTAGCATATAATTTGATCTTGGGTGACTTTCAAAGTTTTGTATTTGCTGACAAACAGCACAACTTCCCAACACATGAATACTGTCAGCACATCTTCCTGCCACACACATATTGTCATCACAGCTTCCTGCCACACACACATTGTCAGCATAGCTTCCTGCCACACACATATTGTCAGCACAGCTTCCTGCCACACACATATTGTCATCACAGCTTCCTGCCACACACATATTGTCATCACAGCTTGCTGCCGCACACATATTGTCAGCATAGCTTCCTGCCACACACATATTGTCAGCACAGCTTCCTGCCACACACATATTGTCATCACAGCTTCCTGCCACACATATTGTCATCACAGCTTCCTGCCACACACATATTGTCATCACAGCTTCCTGCCACACACACATTGTCAGCACAGCTTTCTGTCATACACACACTGTCATCACAGCTTCCTGCCACAAACACATTGTCAGAACAGCTTCCTGATACCGGAGAAATATACAAAAATTCATTTTTGTAAACAGAGTGGTAGACGGTTGGAACAAGTTAAGTGAGAAGGTGGTGGAGGCCAAGACTGTCAGTAGCTTCAAAGCGTTATATGACAGAGTGCTGGGAAGACGGGACACCACGAGCGTAGCTCTCATCCTGTAACTACACTTAGGTAATTACACACACATACATGATAAAAGACAATAGTCACCCCTTAAGAGTGACATTTAATGGAGTGAAACAAACAGTGGAAGTGTTTAGGTATGCCAGGAAATTATAGAACGATGAGGATGGGAAGCAAGACGAGACCTCTCAAAGGAAGACTGAAAAAAGCTAAAACTAAACCTTGATTTTTATTTTTTTTCTGCAAGATGATAGGGATTATGAAATGGTACATGAAAACAAACAAGCAAAATGATTAGAGGAAAGGGGAAGTAAAGGACACAGGAAGACGAAACATGTTCCTGAAAACTGCATATGTAGAATTAACACAGATGAAGCGAGATAAAAAATACTGGAGCTAAACGATTAAGATGTCAAATGTTGTTGCACTAACTGAGACACAACTTGAAGAAAATGTATTAGATGAAGTCATATTCGCAAGGGGCTACTGAATTTGGAGATATGACAGATAAATTAGGCGGTGTTACTGTGCTGGCAAAAAAAAAACACAGGGGAGGGAAAGAACCACCCCTCTGGCGAGCAGACAAGCAGTGAGTACTCACTGCTTGTACTCGCCTAGCAGTAACTAGGTGAGTACAAGCAGACTGGCTGGGAGTTCACACCAACTAATCATCGAGGTAGGCCAACACACGAACACCTAGCAGACGTAGACGGACTACCACGAACCAGGTAAGATGCATGAAAATGCGAGGTGCTAGATGCCGGCCAAACAGAAGGCAACGAAAATGGGAAGCATGCCGTCCCCACCACAAAACACCAGTCCTTGAACCCCGGAGGAATTGAGACACTTGGAAGGGGTCAGGACAAGGATTTTGGATGGGATGGGGAGAAGGGGGAAGGAATGGTGCCCAACCACTTGGACGGTCAGGGATTAAACACCGACCTTCATGAAGCGAGACCGTCGTTCTACCGTCCAGCCCAAGTGGTTGAGCCAGGGAGGTTGAGGGAGGGGGGAAAAGATCAGCGTGGACAATTGACACAGTGGCTGTGGATGACATTTGCTTGTTTCCTTGTTTATTTAGGGGGAATTCTGGTTCCCTGTTCGATCTTGCGTTTGCAATTTCCTACCAAGTGGGGTTTGTTTTGGAATGCCAACCTTTCTGGGTGCCTAACCCCGGTCGATGGCAGACATGGAATACTCCCAAATACAAGGGAGGTTTCCTTAGACCATTGCTCCCTGCGCTTCTCTAAGGGGGCCAGGTTCTGGCTCAAGGTCCCCGGTAGGCAGAACTCCATTGACTGAAGCCCCATACTAATATAGCATATATCAGTCCGATAGCTCCAAGGAGCCGAAGGGGCTCCCCCATAGAAAAAGGTAAACATAGTTCCAAACCACAAAAATGGTAGGAGAGAAAACCCACTCACTTATAAACCTGAATCACTGACAAGGATTTTAGTGTAAACAACATTACAAAAAATAAGAGGAGGGGGGGAGAGAGAGAAGAGAGAATTGAGAAAGTGAGAGGGAGAGGGGAAGAGGGGGAAGAGGGAAAGAGAGGAGGAGAGAGAGGGGGGGAAAAAGAGAATGGAAGGGGCAGAGAAAGACCCAAACACCACCAGCTACCCTATCTACCACATAATAAAAACACCATTAAGGAAACTAACCAGAGGAGAGCCATATAGGCCTCACTGTCCACAGGGTTGACCAGCACATGTCCTTCTAGCTGAGGTGTGGGCGAGTCCAACCAGAGAAACAGTGTATCGCTGGTGCCCAGGCTGACGGCCACATCCCCAGAACCTACACACATACCTGCAATGCATCACCACACACATACACACACACTTAGCGTGAGCTTCATTAACACTTACTCATAAAGCTAAGTTACTCCACGGAAGAAAAACTTACAAATTCAATAAATAAAGTAACAATTGACTAGTGATGAGACACACTGGATTGAGGATAAATTTGACTGAACATACAGAGCTATTTTTGTCATAATAATCAATAACAAAGTTATATTGCTGCAAAATGAGCATGAATATAAAAAAAAAAGTTTGACAAATTATATCTAAAGTTACAATATATACTATGGTCATCTGAAGTTTACAACTGACAATGTTCTAGAAAGTTTAAGCTACCGTTTGCAGCACAGGTTACATAGCCTTCCCGGTTTGGTGCCTTCTTTTGATAATTACTTACTTACTTTCAGCATAGGTAGACTGATGGACAAAGTAGATGTTTCTAAATGAGAGACCTTGCCCAGATAAAAATATATCATTCTGACTAAGAAAACTCTTCCAGGAGTGTGGTTTCTAGCTCAGTTGTTAGTCCATTTATGGGTCGGTAGGCTCTCCTTAGGAGGAAGATACCGGTTATGAAAAAATACCTCGCAATTAAATGTTATTATATTCTCTGTTACACATTAGTAGCTGCATTTTGATTGTTGTAGGTGATGAGAAATATTCCTAGTCCCTCTGCCTATCAAATAATGCAAACATCATCATGAGAATTTTTAAAAATAAAAATGCCACTAGGGAGCCGGTCGGCCGAGCGGACAGCACGCTGGACTTGTGATCCTGTGGTCCTGGGTTCGATCCCAGGCGCCGGCGAGAAACAATGGACAGAGTTTCTTTCACCCTATGCCCCTGTTACCTAGCAGTAAAATAGGTACCTGGGTGTTAGTCAGCTGCCACGGGCTGCTTCCTGGGGGTGGAGGCCTGGTTGAGGACCGGACCGCGGGGACACTAAAGCCCCGAAATCATCTCAAGATAACTCAAGATAACTCCATCTTATGAATTATGAATAATATTGTATAATAAAATACCGACAACGACACCATGCTATAAAGCAAACGCTTAAAGGAAGGGTTGCCGATTCCTTAGATTTTTGTTGTGATAGCTAGTGTTACTACCTGGTGGCTGTTAGTGTAGCGCACAGTGTATAACTGGTAGGTTACAGTGTATAACTGGTAGGTTACAATGTGATAATTAGCTGTCCTTGTGATCACAATGATCACTTGCAAGGCGTTATCTTGAGGTTATCTTGAGATGATTTCGGGGCTTTAATGCCCCCGCGACCCGGTCCTCGGCCAGACCTCCACCCCCAGGAAGCAGGCCGTGACAGCTGACTAACTCCCAGGTACCTATTTTACTGCTAGGTAACAGGGGCATAGGGTGAAAGAAACTCTGCCCATTGTTTCTCGCCGGCGCCCGGGATCGAACCCAGGACCACAGGATCACAAGTCCAGTGTGCTGTCCGCTCGGCCGACCAGCTCCCTTTTATTGTTGCTACAATAAAATGGCGTCTTGAGCGGTGTGTTACTGCTCTTTTGTCTTGCATGAAGTGGTCCTTAACCTGCCTCCAGGAGCAACTGAGGCAGCTCTGCTCAGAAAGGTCTGCCTTATATTCCAGTAAATATAAAATCTTAAAATACTATTCCCTTTAATTATATTATCCTACTTTTCAACATCAGAGCAGAAGTAAACAGCAAAAACAAAAATGCTGTAGCAACAATAAAAATATAAGTTTCAAAATTCAAAATTAGTGAATTCTCACCAGCTAGCGAGGAAGGATTGTCCCCAGTGAATGCTATCACAGCACAGTCAGGATTGAAACTGTACCGGTCGACAAAATATGAAGATATTGTGCCTAGCTTCTCGGAAGCAGGAACAGGTTTCCCTAATTTTTCTGCCAGTCCTGGAGCACAAGCCTGAAATGGCAAACAGTACACTATATCATTCTTCTGCTTTGTAAACACAATACTGTCCCTCCTGCAGCATGATAATCTGTGCATATCATGTCACTGTTCACTGAAGTATACCCATAGTCATATTCTGAACTGTACTCGCATAGTTCTCACATTTTGAACAAGTTTACTTTCTATACCTCTAGGGGGCGACAGTATCGTTGTTGTTTTAAATTCAGCTACTCAGAACAAAAAGTTCCAGGCAGCAAAAATAAATCTGGAACGAGTGAGGCGAGGAGCAGGTAAGAGAAGACGGTAGGAGTAAGGTGAAAGATAAGAATAGGATGAAAGGTTAGAATAGGATGAATGAACGTAAGAATGGAATGAATGTAAGAATGGGATGAATGAAAGAATAGGATGAAAGCAAGAATTAGATGAAGTTAAGAAAAATGGGGTAGGCTTAAGTCAGATCATGTTTGTTAAGAAGGCTGCAGCATTTAAGTATGTACTGTGAATGTGAAGGGCCAACAGCAACAAAGCCAGGACCAAGGTTCACGTTGCGCACGTTGTGTATCACAGCCGATTTGACAAGACAGCGCCTGTGAAGAGTAGAGGCAGGATAGATTATTTTAGAAGAGGCCAATCTATAGGATGATTAGAGCTCCTAACACAATAGAAGAGAGCATTGTTTGTCTGCAAACTTGACACTTCTTTTGTGTTCCATAAGTCTGTCATTTCATGTACAGCCAGTTTCATCAAAGTACTGTATTGGAGAGGACAAAACGAACAGGAAATGGAGCAGACACCAACTGAATTGGAAACAGGAGAAGCACTGTTTCCTAACCCCTCCACCCCCCCCCCTCCCCCCTTTCTGCCAAACAAGTGAGGAAGATGGGGCAAATGACATCAAGCTTGTGTCAAGATAATTCAATTGTTCAGTTACATAATTGGGGGAGTTTATTAGATGGGTTTCAAAACTTTGGCCTCTCTTGAACCCACTAGTGGTTATCTTTTTTTTGAATCGCTAACTTTCTGGTTGCCTTTCCCGGCGAGGTGGTAATTTCTTGCCTTTCCTGGTGATGTGACAATTTGCCACTGCTCCTCGTGCCTCTATGATGGGGGAAGGATGGGGTCCAGGTTCTGGCTCCGACCTCCAGTAGGCCTATACAACTCCACAGCTAATGCGACCCAGTAGGCGGGAACCATCTTAGTGAATAGCTTTAGGGAGACACTGTGGCTCACCCAGAAATTGGCCTTTCATTACATTCAACATTGGTTTCTTCCCACGTACCACAGGGTTGTTAGGGAATAATAGGCATGCAGCTCAGGGGTTAAGACGGAGAAGCCACAAGACCCGACTCACCCTGGGCAAGGGCCACCACAGCCGAGGAGAACCATTAAAGGAGCAACCCTCTTACATTCACACAGGGAAGGCAACACTCAGCATGTGCAGCCCCCAGCATTCTATATGCCAGACTCATGCTACACTGCAGTGAACCAGAAAAACCACAAAGGGCAAAAAACACCAAAATCACTTGGCTGAACAGTGGAGCGCATAAGACAAAAAAGGCGACCCGGGAACCACTACACCAGTCAAGTGACATTGACCGCATCAGCATATGAACTGACAACTATGACCTCTGGAAGGGGGTTTATAGCTGTTTATAAAATGGGAAAGGGGCCCTTACCAATTTTAGGCACTACCAGCGTCTTGGGCCAAGCGCAAATTCGCTTGGCAATACTGTACTTTACTTCTAACACTAACTGCACAATTACTATGCATGCCAAAGAGTTCAATTTGGTATAATTTTCAAGCTAAAGAGTTGCACTTTATGATACAGTATTTAAAAAATGCAGTAAATGCAAAATAAAACAACAAAAAGGCGAGTTAAAGTTAGCCAACATGACATTGGAAATGCCAACTAGTTATCATCGGAATGTTCTGCCGTTTTGAGCAAATGACAACTGTAAGGGTCACAAAGACATTAAAGGGTTAATTAATGCACATGCCTTTTCTTTTCCCTCCTGGAAAACCGTCACTTTTTGCCGGGGCAACACTGGAATTAAGCTTGGTGAGCTACTGAGAAGGACCTAGCAGGAATTAAGCACTGAAGGTAATGAAACACTTTTCTGGTGGGCCTCTCAGAAGCTACCCATCTCTGCCATCATCACTTAATTTCCTATGGAAGTTTTGGAGTTGTGTTTTGGCCCCGTGTAAATTAAATGTATCTACTATTTGTGTCTGCAGAATCACGCTATTAGCTCTTGGACCCCACCTTTTTAATGAGGAGGGGTGTGTGTGTGTGTGTATATGGGACTCTGGGTGACTTCAGCCATCATCTGATGGCAGCGTGATCAGTGATACTTAACTTGTTTACTAACGTCAAGCAGTCTCGGGGGTTTGTCCCACCTAACCTTTAATGGTGGGTTTTTCTTGGTTTTTGGAGTAGATTTCTAATCCTCAGACTCCCCTCGCCTTAGAGTAAGCCAGACTCTGGTCACGACACCATGCAGATCAAGGATGGTCTCAAGAGACATGGTCCGAATTCCTAAGGTTCGGCTACACAGTACTTCAGCTCATCAAGACATTGAGAGGCCCACCAGACAAGTGCATTTCATTACATTCAGTGCTTAATTTTTATTAATACAAATATACATCCAAGTTAATTTGTGCATTTAAATTAGAAAAATGGCCAAATATTTAGAAACCCAGATTATTCCTTTATCAGAATCATGTTTGGGATGATATGATCCATATTCTGAAGGTCCCACTATATTCGGTACAAATGTATACAGGGTATTGGGTATCAGTGAATACATAATACAAACTTATATGGGATAATTGGTAATGCAAACTCATGAATTTTCTGGAGTAAACTAACATTCTCCAAAGAGAGACTGAGAAAAATATACAGTACATGTTTATATACTGTACATATAATACACAGTACAGGTATATACATATATATACTTACATCCAGACAGGGTTGTGACCAAGTCTTCGTGTTGATATCGAGTAAATTCATGCCTGAACCATCAGCAAAGTCAATTGAAGCATAACTACCCAAAAACAGGGAAGCAGCAAAACTGCTCACTAGTGAAATCCTCTGAAATAAATCACAATTGTTAGTCAAGCCAAAGTAAGTTGTTTTGACTTAAAAATTAAACAAATATATTACTGTATTGCATGTGTTGTATTTAGTGGTTGAAGCAATCAATGTTTAGCAACAGGTAAGGAAAAAATATCTCAATAAGGATGATAATGAGTCAAACTGGAATGTAAATAATATTTTTGTAATAACATTGTCAGCATATCAGTGCTGCACTCAAGATAACCTTACTTCAGTGTTATTGTAGGCCTCTTTGCGATTCTTGTAAACCTTGGCAATCTGGGACCCTGTAAACCTCTCGTATGCACGTGACCCAGTAATGTCGGCAAGTTTCTGAAAGAGAAATGATTAATTACTTACTGTATTACATTTATCTCACAAATTAGTAGTGTTGTGTACTTGGTGGTGAGGCTCAGATGCTCTCCCCTCAATGACCAAAGCATTAATGGAGGAGGAACATTACTGAAGGTAAAATAATGGTCTTATGCAAGGAAAGTTTTACAAGTAGCTTAATACTTCTTCCAAAAGCTAAGATAGTATGGCAGGAACTTTTTTCAGGTGGGACACAGAAATAGAAGAACCAGCAGCAAGCGGAAGTTGTATACGTCTTCTACCCTCCAGCTGGAAACGGAACTTCCTGCTTTCTTAATGAAGAACCCCACCAGATAATTTTAAAAAATATATTTCTAATCTCACTGTGATATGATACAGACTTCAATAAGAAGCTGCTTAAGTGGGAGTGTTGAAAATAATGAAACATTCCTTTCCAAGCAGATCCCTCTGATGGCCTTGTAAACATATCTCACCTAAGAATCATTATCAACCAAGATTTTACTACCTTTCTTGTCACTGACACGACTTCATCTTAAGATTTGGATCCCTGCTTACAGTTTCTTCCCACTGGACAGATTTGGTTAGACGTCTTACTGTCGACTTTCTTATTTGTTGCCTTACCTGTTACGCCTTGCTGACCTTTTACCCACCATTTTCCAGCTATAGATTTAGAACTGGAAAGTTCTGCCTTTTGCAATTACTTAACCACTATGACAAAAATCACAGAAGCAATAGCAGCATATCATAATACAGATGTTGTATACACAGACTTTGCAAAGACTTTTGATTAATAAGTCCATTGTGTTAGTCCATAAAATGAAGTCCAAAAAAGTAACAGAGTGGTGAAACGAACATTCAATTTCCAAACCAACAGGCCACAAAAGTAAACCAAACAGAATCTAGTTTCAGTTACAGCAACGTTTGTTTTTATGTTTGATGCAACGTTTGACAAGATGTTTGTTTACTGTTTTTGAGACAGTAAAAAGCTCTGTATGTCAAGGCCTCATCCCTACACAACCAAAAAATGTTTAGATTTCAAGAGAAAATTGGACAAGTTGCTACAGGAATTGCCAGATCAGCAGATATGTAACAGATATATGGCATGTAGGCCACTACGAGCAACATCCTTACTGACCAAGTTATCACCAGATAAGCTTGCCCCTTGACCAGACTTGGAGAGTCGAACCCTACCAAATCAATTAAAGGTAAATTAAACGAAATACAGGACCTTGAAACACACAGCTGGGGACCCGCAGCGACCCATAAAAGAAAATAGAGCACCCAAGCCTTGAGAAACATCAAACATTCCTGGAGCATATTAAACAATACCACACACAAATGAAAGGCGCCCAGTTGCGAAGATCGAGGTTCCTCCTCGGAGACGCGTCAGAGGGTCCCGAAAGACACACTGGGAAAGTGGGCATCGCCCTACAAAACCAAGGCAGTGGAAGGCACCCAAATCAAGAGGCTGAGCACACTGGGGGAAGTGAGGTGCTCTACTTTCCTTATGATTCTACCTCTTGGTTCAAGAAGATCTACTATCTCATGCCCTCAACTATGTGGACCAGATTCTGTTTGTGGTCTGCAGTAGGATTTATGACTTAAGGGCCGGGTGAGACATGATCAGTGTGGAGCTAACCAGTTGGCTTGCATCAGTGAACCACCTGTTGACAATTTCAAGGCTCAATGTCCCTGCAGCCCAGTCTCTGACCAGGCCTGGTTGATCAGGTATCCTTTGAAGGTGTTTGTCGAGTTCTCTTTTGAACACTGAAAGAGGTCGGCTAGTTATTCCCAAATATGTAGGGGAAGAGTGCTGAAACGTCTTGGGTCTTTGATGTTGATCGAGTTCACTCTCAGCATGCCTATTGCACTTCTGCTTTTCAGTGAGGCTATTTTGCACATCCAGCCAAGCCATCTGCTCTCATGTGGTATTATTTCTACACGCAGATTTGGAACCAGCCTTTCTAATATTTTCAAAGTGTAAAATATTACATCTCTCTCCCACCTGCACTGTAGAGAGTATAGATTTAAAATTTTTAGGTCTCAATAATCTAGATGTTTTATCGAGTGAATTCTAGCAGTAAAAGATCTTTGCACACTCTCCAGGTCAGCAATTTCTCCAGCTCTGAATGGGGCAGTTAGTGCACTAATATTTCACTCTAGAGAGCACTAATGTCTTAAAATGCATTATCATTGGTATGGCATCTCTTATTTGAAAGGTTCTTGTTATCAAATCTGTCAATTTTCTTGCAGTTGTGGCAGCAACTTTGTTGTGTTCTTGAAAAGTAGGGTCTTCCGACATGATTACTCCTAAATCTTTTACAACATTTTTTCTTTCAATAGTGTGCTTTGACTGTGTTTTATATACTTACCTAGTTGTGCTTGCGGGGGTTGAGCTCTGGCTTTGGCTCATATGTGATTTCTGCTTTGATATTTTCCTTTTTCCATAGAGCAGTAATTAGAGCTTATTCTCATTAAATATCATGTAATTTTCTGTGACCCATTGAAAGACTTTATTAACATCAGATTGGAACTTTGGTGTGTCCTCTATATCCTTGTTCTTCAACCTGTTATTGAAGAACAAGGAAGTGTGTGAAGTTGACTTCCAATTTGTGTGAAAAGGTCTTTTCACATAAATAGGAAGTCAAAACAATTCCCAACAATTTGATAGCCTTATAACTTGGTTATGGATATTCTTTTTTGAGTGGTATTCAAAATTGAGACAATGATTGCATTTTACGTCTGAACACCAAAGTGACATCAAAAGACAACTCGATCAGCTTTTCTTTCTCACGAGGATTAAGTGTGCATGATTTTATATCTTCCAAGAAGGTATTATTAATCCAGAGATTACCTTTACAAGGATCCTCATATTCATAAGTTTTCAGCTACTGCTCTTAAATGTTGACTTATGTTGAACATGACTTTCTGGTTGACATCAGCAGCAATCAAAAATTCTCCCAAAAGTGGAAACATCTCTATATCTTCCTCTAGGATGTGATTATGCCAAAGAGGCAGCTTCTTTTTAAACACGTCCATTTCATTTCTCAGTGTAAAAATATTTGTACAAAACCCCTGAAGAGAAATATGTTGACCAGACCACACACTAGAAATTGAAGGGACGACGACGTTTCGGTCCGTCCTGGACCATTCTCAAGTCGACCATTCTCAATCGACTTGAGAATGGTCCAGGACGGACCGAAACGTCGTCGTCCCTTCAATTTCTAGTGTGTGGTCTGGTCAACATACTTCAGCCACGTTATTGTGACTCATCGCCTGCCCCTGAAGAGAAATATTAAGTTTGTTAAAAAGGCTAAATATGTCTGCCAAATAAGCAAGTTTAGCCATCCATTCCTCATTCAACAAAGGTTCTGCTAGGTCAGCTTTCTGCTGTCACAGAAACTGATTTACTTCTTCCCTCAGTTTGAAAAAGGCATGCAAGAACCTTTCCTCTTGACAACTACCTTACTACTACAGAAAGATGGTGGTGGTGGTGGTTTGAATCCATACTCTCGGGCGCTTCAATGTTGTGTGCAGCACCGCGCTCGCCCCCGCAACAATGTAGCGCCCGAATCATGTAGCGGCTACATTATTCAGGCGAAATTTTTTGTGGACCGCTAGAAATTTCTGCGGACCACAGGTTGAATAACAGGGCCTTAAGGGACTACAATTAACAGTCAGGAGGAGACAGTCTAAAGAGACCCCATTAACAGCAAGCTGGAGATGCCATGAAGAAGCCCCATTAACAGCTATGTGGACACAACCTGATAAGACCCCGCTATTAATAGCCAGGTGGGGATGACCTGAAGCCACTCCCAATAACATCCAGGAGGAGACGACCTGAAGAGACCCTCATTGACAGCTAAGTGGAGACACCCTGAAGAGACCCTGTAAGTCGAGGCTGAGGTTACACTTGCCAGGTTGGAATATGGCCTTGTCCTTGGAAGGAGAGCTGGGCATTTCTTAAGAAAACCAACAAGAGTAGTTTAAGCCAAGAAAACAGTCTCTCCTGAAAATGACACTCGGATGTCGAGTACCACATAGATCCAACTCTGAGAGACCAAACACTGACCTATTCATCTGATCTCTGATCTCTTGTCCTGTGGGGTGGTCACAATAGAAACCTATTTGTTAATTCAGATTTTAAAATATTTTTCAGATTCTGGGAATTTTGGTCATGAGATTGTAGATGTTCAGGTGAACGGTAATGACTGCAGTACATGGGAGCATGGATTAAAGTTAACCAAGATACTTGGAAATCAAGCCAAAGTCCAAACAATGAAAGTGCTGGTTGGAGATGATAAGCACCATGAAATTAACAATCATTTACAATGTTTCACAAGTACAGTGCAAACGAAAGATAAAAAAGCGAGTACAGTACCTCACTGGATCTTTTTCATTACATACATATAAAGAGCAAATTCTTGTCCAAGAAACTTTGACAATGAACAGATGACAGAACATTAGCCAAAATGAGTACATGACACTCTAGAGGTTACCTGTGAGCCTCCAACTGCCTTCTCCAAAGCCTGACATTGAGCAGTAGTTGACGAGTCCATCCATATTGGTGAATCTGTAATGGTGAAGACCATTGCCAGCTGTTCGTGAAGGAAGCGATCAGGTTGGACTTCCAACAGAGTCTTGCTAGCACCATTCCGCCAATACACACTACCATGTTGCTGTAAATATTAACTTAAGTAGCCTATAACAATTTACAATGCTGCCTCAATATGCAAATACAGAAATGAAATACAAAAATGTTTTTTATCTAAAATACAGAGGAGGATACTTAAGGTTTTCTTACATAAATTTTAGAAATCACTGTCCATAAAACCTAGCAAGAAATGTTTATAAATATTCCGTCTATGTCTTTTCGACATATCCAAAAATGAGTAACTAACCGTTTTATTTGCAGGCGACGAGTCGCAATAACGTGGCTAAAGTATGATGACCAGACCACACACTAGAAGGTGAAGGGACGACGACGTTTCGGTCCGTTCTGGACCATTCTCTCAAGTCGATTGAGAATGGTCCAGGACGGACCGAAACGTCGTCAACCCTTCACCTTCTAGTGTGTGGTCTGGTCATTTAACCGTTTTATGATGTCACGCTCTTACTAGCTGCTTACGAAAATACTGTACTACACATCTACGTCTTACTCATATGTCTAACATCAACACCTATCTACTAAAACCATAAATCCCATCTGTTGAAACAATGTTACCCATCATCTAAAACAATGTAATGCATCTCTAATGCTAGCAAAACACTGTAGATTACGCAACCCTGTCTGGAATGCAATCAGAAAGCACACCGATATAAAACTATAATGTTTTCAAGCACAGTTTAGCATCACAAGAACTTCATCATGCCAAAACTAATAGATAGAAGAGAGGTGATGTGATCACCACTTACAAAATACTAACAGGAATCGCAAAAACTGACAAAGGAATTCCTGAAACCAGCAACTTCATGAGCAAGAAGATGCAGATTCAAGCTAAGGAAACAAAGATGGCAAAAAAATATTTGAAAGCTTTCCTTTGCAAACAGTGATAGATGGTTGGAACAAGTTAAGTGAGGTGGTGGTGAAGGCCACTTGACTTGGTTTAGTTTGTACTGTAGTTTCAAAGTGTTATACGGCAAAGAGTACTGGGAAGACGGGACACCACAAGTATAGCTTTCATCCTGAAACTACACTTTAAGTAATTATCACCTCTCACCTCGCCTCCTTTCTTGCCCTATAAATGTTGCTTCCCCATCTTCTCTCAGTTTTGACTTGATAAGGGTCCTCGCACTGTATCTTGTACTACCCCACTACCTCAATATATGTGCCTAAGCCATTCAACTTCACCACTGTAATCACTGCTATCTTCTTGTATCATGGTTTTTATATTGAACACACATTTTACTGCATTATACCTAGAAATAATCCTCAAATTATGCTACAATGTACCTGTTGATAATCCTCAAATTTTATTATAATGCATCTACTAATCTTCTTTAAATTTTCTTACAAAGTACCCATTAACATTTCTGAATTTTGCTAGAAATTACCTAATTAAGAGGTTATCTGTTAGATTAAAGACCTGCCAAAAATGTTATGCATGTTAGTGGCTTTACAAGAATGTAAAAACATCAATGCTATGTACTCTCATAAATCCAAGGTACCTTCTTGTATATAAATAATAAAAAGAATAGAGCAAAATGTGTTCACTTTCATTTTCATATGTGTGGGACAAGATGTTTGTTTTTTCATCCATGTCACTGTGACATTCTCAGCATTTCATGTATATTTTGACTTCCAAAAAATGTATGTAGAAGCCTTATTTTCGTCACCTGCCTATACAGCATCCTGCAAGGGCCAGCCAAGAAGGAATGTAGCGAGCTTGGGTTAGGGTAATTTATGACAGTGTCAATACTGCTACCTGGTGGTGACCAGTAGTGAACTAGTGTGTCATTTAGTAGTTAGCAAGAGTGCTGCTTGGTGGTTCTTGCGAGGGGAAGCAGTGCTTGGAAAGTCTACGTTTTATGTGAATGTACTTGGTGCATGCATCCTGGGTTAGACCGAGTTTTCACCAGTGTTTCCGTAACCGCAGTATGGTGTGAACGAAGAGTTTGTTAAGTTGCCTAAAGCACGAGTGAAAGATATCTGACTGTTCCGACTGTGAGAGATCTTAATGGTCAGTAGAAATTTGCCTTAAGAGAGCATCCATGTGAGGATACCTTACAAACTATTTCCTTCCATTTCTTTTTTTACTCAGTACAGTATATGATGTTCTATATATAGTGTATTACAATTAATATTAATACACGAGTATAGTATAATTGCAATATTGTAAATCAAGCAAAGTATACTCTCCCACCTATATTGAAGCCTCACACTTTTCTTACATACCATATATCAATTTTCTTACATACCATATATCACTTTTCTTACTTACTATATATCAATTTTATGGGACAATTTGTCATCTGCCTAAATCATTCTACTAATGTAGTTATCTCCAACTTATAATATTTCAAATACAGAACTGGAAGACTTTTTCATATAGTTCACAGTACAGATAATATTTACCTGTATTATCTTCAATAAAAACAGTCATTAACCCCAAATAAATAATGCCAAAGTACTCGACACTAATACAGATGCAAGAGTATCAATCCAGACGCAAGTGGGAAAGCTCATAGGGGCTAACTGCTACAAGCTAGGAAGCATCTGCAACACTATTGTTACGAAGAGAAAATACATTACAATACCGTACATATTATATACAAACAAGGTGCATATTGCCCAAATCATAATCAAATTAAATAAATTTGGAAATGCTGTAACTAAATCCGGAAAAGCAATGTTGAACGCATCCAGATCTGCGAGTTCAGTCCCATCACACGACCAATATTTTCTCACTGAAATCACAAGAACGTGACATATCTTTATTCTGTAACTATAGTAAATTCTAATTATTTACAAATGACTAAGAAGGACTAATTGCTAAGATTTACTCAACCCAACCTCCTGTTTAGATACGTAGTACTATTTGTAATTATGTAGACCACTGTACATACATAAATATAATAGACAATTAGATACAGCAATAGAATTTGGTATTATTCACTTTAAAGTCCCCCAAAAATTAAAGCTAAAAACCAAACTTAAATATTCCTAAGCCTAGTATAGAACATACTGTATATGTACTATATTAGGACTCGGCTAGCATGTATTAGGCCTAGGACGGTTAGTTTAGGTCAGGTTTTCTTTGCAACACTAACACAAAAACTTATCCAATTTGTCCAAATTCGATAGTACCAATTTCTACTCTCTACTAATTGCCTTTTACATCAATATACTGTATGTACGATGGTCCTCATCATTACTACGAGTACTGTGCTACCTGAACAGAAGGACAGGCTGGATTTATTTCGAATATCTGTTGAACACTAACCAGCATAACCATTCATGTACCCAGTAAGCGGCACATCCCTTCACAAATTCATTACTATATAAAAATTGCACCAGCATTTAACTGAAAGCTAGGTCTCAACATCTGCCAAAACTAACACTCGCTTGTACTTGTACATTTTTAGAGTTGCTATTTAATACAAAATAACTCCTAGACATTATGTAAAAGTACAGCTCATCTAGGAATAAAAATGATAACATTCACATACACACACACACACACACACACTCTCTCCAAGGAAGACAGAGAAAAGCTGACACACACTAAATGGGGATAGAAATGAAGAAGACGATAATTGTAAATGCCTACAGCCCACCAGCAAGCAACACGTGGACAAAGGAAGAACTGGATGACAAACGAGAGGGCCTCATAATGGTCATGAGAGATATTATTGTACAAGCAGATAAAGATAAATCACGACTGTTGATACTGGGGGACTTCAACTTTAGAGCAATAGACTGGGAGGCCTATGAAGCAAGAACGGAGGACTTTTGGACATGCAGATTTGTGAACCTCATTCTGGAGACATTCTTGTATCAACACATAAAGCAAGCCACAAGAATGAGGGAAGGAGATATACCGTCAGTACTGGATCTAGTATTCACCAGGAAAGAAGAAGAGATTTTTGACATCCAGTACCTTCCTCCCTTGGGAAAGAGTGATCACGTCCTGTTAGACATTAAATATGCTTTAAGATATCATCTAGAAGAAAATGGGGACATTGAAACAGTTGATAAACTCGATTTAAAGAGAGGCAACTATGGGGAACTTCGAAATTTTTTTAATGAGTGTAATTGGACAGAATTGTTGCTAGGCAGGGAAGTAAATGAAATGTATGCCAAATTTTTAAAACTATACGAGGAAGGCACACAAACATTCATACCAAAACAGAGATGCAGGACCAGAAAACAGGATTGGTTTGACAGAAATTGTGAGAGGGCAAGAGACCAAAAGACACAAAAATGGAATCAGTATAGGAAGAGGCCAAATCCCCAAACATACCAGCGATACAAAGATGCGAGAAACAATTATACAGCAGTAAGGAGAGAGGCAGAAAGAAATTTTGAAAAAGGGATAGCAGATAAATGTAAAACAGAACTGGGCCTATTCTACAAATTCATAAACAACAAATTGCAGGTAAAGGATAATATCCAGAGGTTGAAAATGGGAAACAGATTCACGGAAAATGAAAAGGAAATGTGTGAAACATTAAATGAAAAGTTCCAAAGTGTGTTTGTACAAAATGAAATATTCAGAGAACCAGACACAATAAGAATTCCAGAGAACAACATAGAGCGGATAGAGGTGTCTAGAGATGAAGTGGAAAATATGCTAAAGGAGCTCGGGAGGAACAAAGCAGCTGGCCCAGATGGCGTTTCACCATGGGTTCTGAGAGAATGTGCATCTGAGCTCAGCATTCCACTTCACCTGATCTTTCAGGCATCCCTGTGTACAGGAATCGTAGCAGACGTGTGGAAACAGGCTAACATAGTTCCAATCTACAAAAGTGGCAGCAGGGAAGACCCCCTCAATTATAGACCTGTATCATTGACAAGTGTAATAGTGAAAGTATTGGAAAAGCTAATCAAAACTAAATGGGTAGAACACCTGGAGAGAAATGATATAATATCAGACAGACAGTATGGTTTTCGATCAGGAAGATCCTGTGTATCGAATTTACTCAGTTTCTATGATCGGGCCACAGAGATATTACAGGAAAGAGATGGCTGGGTTGACTGCATCTATCTGGACCTAAAAAAGGCTTTCGACAGAGTTCCACATAAGAGGTTGTTCTGGAAACTGGAAAATATTGGAGGGGTGACAGGTAAGCTTCTATCATGGATGAAAAATTTTCTGACTGATAGAAAATGAGGGCAGTAATCAGAGGCAATGTATCGGAATGGAGAAATGTCACAAGTGGAGTACCACAGGGTTCAGTTCTTGCACCAGTGATGTTTATTGTGTACATAAATGATCTACCAGTTGGTATACAGAATTATATGAACATGTTTGCTGATGATGCTAAGATAATAGGAAGGATAAGAAATTTAGATGATTGTCATGCCCTTCAAGAAGACCTGGACAAAATAAGTATATGGAGCACCACTTGGCAAATGGAATTTAATGTTAATAAATGTCATGTTATGGAATGTGGAATAGGAGAACATAGACCCCACACAACCTATATATTATGTGAGAAATCTTTAAAGAATTCTGATAAAGAAAGAGATCTAGGAGTGGTTCTAGATAGAAAACTATCACCTGAGGACCACATAAAGAATATTGTGCACACACATACACACACTTCATAGGTTTATGGACATCACAAGTTCACAATAGTAACAAGTTTTAGTTGTCATCTTACCTGTCCCGTTCCAGAAATGGCAGCGATTGTGGAAAAATCCGCTCCAGCCACTCTCAGTTTGTCCATCAACATGTCAAGGGCCTTCACCCACATAATAGTGGGGGCGGTCACTGTCACACCGTCTCCACGAACATGCACCCCACCATGGGTCCTGGCCAGAATTTACTACCAAGAGTTCTTAATATATTAAGTTAACCAGCCTTACATATACAGTAATACAGTCATGCACAATACACAGGGCTGAACAAATGTTAGATTAGTTCACCAGTGAGACAAAAACGCAATTCACCAACTGCCTTTAGCAGTAACGAGAACAAAGGAAATTAGTTTTTTCACTCGCCATGGACAAAAAGATGAACATATTTGTGCAGCCTGCATATACAGTACACTAAATTTCATGCATCTATTGTACCATATCAACATAAGCAATGATCAAATTCAAATGAATCCCTTACATTAGTAGCAGCTACATATACTACAAACTGCTAAAGCTACACAACGCATCCAAAACATGAGAGGGTTCTACCTGTACTCTGGTAAATCATTATCAAACTGGACGGAAGCCTCTTGCAGCACCTCCAGTCGCTCATTAACAACAATAGCTTTAACCTGCAAGGAAAATGTTTTCAATAAAACATAAATGCCGTACTTTCTACTTATAAAACATATACTGCATACAGTAGAATATAAAGCAGAAACCCCTTCCACTATTCTAATAGCCCCTATAGCGAGTTTCCTCAGTCTAAACAAATTAAAGACAATACAGAGTACCATTCAACCATGAATGGTCTTCCAAGTTGCTATGACCAACTAAAAAGTTTAATATAAACTTAGGTAAATAATGTAAAATTCTTTGCCTATCATTTTTTGCAGAAATCAAACCATAGACTTAGTTTCTGCACCACACCAAGAGTTGCATTATTTTCTAAAAGAAGGACATTTGCATAGTTGCATATATATATCTTAAGGTATATCAGTTCAATATAAGCATTATGTATGGCCTCCCTACAGTGCACACACTCAAATTTATACCTCTCTATACTGGATCCCTCTAAAGAACAGACCAAATTCGTCAACCAGATTTCCTTCCAAAATTCAGACTTCTTAGGACAAATTGGATTCCAAAGTGATGCAATGTATCAAGATCGTTAGTGCATCACAGCAATTTCCAACAAATCATTTCTCTGGGGGAGCCCCTTGGTGGGCTCCCCCAGAGAAATTGGTTCCTGAAGCTCCCCCCTTTGTTCCTGAAGCTCCATCCCTGAGACAGCTTCCCAGATTCAGAACCTGGCCTTGTCACAGACGTACAAAAGGCAGGGGATTGCAACAATCACCCTCACTCAGAACGAAAGCAGATTAAACTTTACAGACAACTGCATGGGTCATGAAAACGAAGCATTTAAACAGCCAACAGACACTGCTAAAACTCCCCTGGAAACTGAATGGTTTAATTGAAACTGGGTAAGAAACATTCCGTAGTGTGTGGAGCTGCCAGTGTGTGGCATCCTGGCAACAGCTTGGTCCTTTTGAACAAGTTCCATGATGGCCCTCTTGAAATTTTGCCGTGATGCTTCCGTGCCATGTTGGCCCTTCAGCGCCCTCCAGGAGATGGTTTGCAGTGCCTCTCTTATTTCTTGGTAGTCACGTCGCTGGTAATCTAGAAATTCATCACCTTTGACCTTTATGTGGGTTTCTATATTCGTAACCCATCGTAAAATATGGTGGTCGCACGAGGGCGTAAGCTTTTCCCCAACATGAATTTGATCACTCATACCTCTTCTGTTGTTAGCACAAGATCTAGTATGTTGTGCTATGAATCTAGTATCTTTATGTACAAATAAAGAAAGGATTTAAGAATTCTTTACCAAGACTGAAAATTAGAAAATCTTGAAAGTAGGGAAGGCAATAAATAAGCCTAAAAGGCAGAGTTGACACAGTTACAAAAAGGAACAAACAAAAGCAGAATAAAAAATACTCGTGACGGTGGGTTGCTTGTGGAGTTTCTACACCAAGCCATACCCGCCCAAAACAGTTAGTAGCAGTAACAGTGCAACCCGTTCTCGCACTTGCTTATAGTCAATATTGGCTTATTTAATAAGTGCATATGTGACATACTAATTGATTGTGAATATTTTAGTTTACCTTGAAAAGCTTCATAGAAAACACCGACCTCGCCTAACCTTCTTAGTATGTTAAGATAAGCATCTTATTGCTTCTTATTTACAATTATTACTTAACCTATCAACAGTATAGGTTAAGTAATAATTGTAATTAAGAAGCAATAAGATGCTTATCTTAACATACTAAGAAGGTTAGGTAAGGTCGGTGTTTTCTATGAAGCTTTTCAAGGTAAACTAAAATATTCACAATCAATTAGTATGTCACATATGCACTTATTAAATAAGCCAATATTGACTAAAAGCAAGTGCGAGAACGGGTTGAATAATAACACGTAGTAACAGTTGTCATTATGACAACAGTAGCAGAAATATCAACTCCATTAGTAAAATTAACAAATTGATTTTAATTTTCAAAAATTAATTTATATACTGTACCTCACTGTACAAGATTTTACATTTATACCAATTCAAATATTTAATTTATAAAATAGTTACACATTCTAATTGAATTTGCAAAAATTCTAAAAAATTATTTATACAAGAAAATGTTTTTCATAGCCTAATACTGATTAATATAATACTAGATAATCAACTATAACACAAAATGCTATGACCCTCTTTCACACAATGCTACGCAAAACAGATGTGAAAATACCTTATTAAGATTTACCAACATTAACATGTACATTATACGCATAGGGGAGGTAACAAATAACTATTTCAAGCAAAAAAAATCACCAACATGCATAAAAATGATATGATAACTAGATATAATATGAAAGTCAAGAAATTTCCACAGCCTTAGAATGTGACAAACAATTTGGGGGCTGGCCTGGGTAAAGATTACTTTGCACACTTAACTCATGACCCTGACCCCAAGGGTACGACCTACAATGTAGGACTGAGAACAGGAGATGCTGTTTCACCCACAGGCACACAGCCCCCCCCCCCCCCCCAAATTGTTTGGGGGAGACTGATAGCCGAGTGGACAGCGCTCTGGACTCATAATCCTAGGGGTCCGGGTGCGATCCCCGGTGATGGCAGAAACAAATGGGCAGTTTCTTTCACCCTGATGCTCCTGTTACCTAGCAGTAAATAAGTACCTGGGAGTTAGACAGCTGTTATAGGCTGCTTCTAGGGGGAGGGGGAAATAGTTATAGTTGATTTATTGACAGTTGAGAGGCGGGCTGAAAGAGCAGAGCTCAACCCCTGCAAACACCATTAGGTGAATACAACTAGGTGTAACAGCGTTAGAAACCCATGGAACCGTGGACCCGCCAAAGCCACAAATGGCAAATCTGTTACGCTTTAAAATCTACCTGGAAAAGATCATCAAGGGAAATGGGGAAGGAGTTGGACCTTCAACAAGCCATAAACGTCCTGTCCGCGTCGAAGCCACTAGGGTTAGTGGCCCTCAGGTAAATCAGGTAAAACTCGGGTTATTACTCATGGGAATAACTAACAACACCCTGTCATACCCAAGACAGAGTATAATACTGGTATACTGATATATGACAATGTTCTGTTCAACAGTTATATTTAATGGCATGCCAAAGTAACCATTCACACATCACCAACTCACCTGTTGAGTGCTAAAATCAAAGCCCAAGAAGTTCTTTAGTTCGTGAGGTGCCATGTTGGCCCCTAGCTCAACGTCAGTCATAATGAGGAGATGCCGTTGATATACAGAAGAGAGATAACGGGAGACGCGAGATAAGATGATATAAGACGAGTGGGGGGGAGTGGCAGGTGTGCCTAGACTTGCTCCACACCTGTCTTAGTCGTCACCCAAGTCTACCTGTCTCCTCACGCCACTTTGATGAGCTAATTTCAGTTATATTCGCACATAAAGCGGGATAATGCGAGGTTTACTTATGCGGTAAATAATGCGTGATGGTGGCTGCAGACTTGTATCTAAGGAGCGGCTTCTTGAGTCAGCCGACCAATGCTGTAAACATTGCCTTCGATACCCTGCTTGTGTTCCTGGCTTCGACTGTGGCAAAAACAAAAAATACTAAATTAACACACCACAAACAGAATCCTTGTATGTATTTATATAAAAATTAAATAAATAATAACAGAATTACACATATATGTTCTGAAAAATCCTTATTTGATTTAATCCGTTTGTAGTTCATATCAACTAATATCTAAAGGTTGGAACGCGTGATGGTGGCGTCATTGGCCTTAACGAGCGAACTACTCGGCATGACGACCCCACCCTACTAACAAACAACTACAACACCTCACTCACCGCTTGTAATAACAAGATTGTAACTTGCTTAGCTAAATGAATTGTGAGGTTCAGTCCCTGAGCCCATTATATGCCTCTGTAACCCTTTCCACTACCGCCCACAAGATGGGTATGGGGTGCATAATAAATGGACTAAACTCAACGATTGTAATAACAATAACCATATTAACAATCACGTTTATACAAAAGAATAAGTTGTACGAAGAACATAAGAGGAAGGGTCAACTATAAGCACAGGAGATACTATGAAACTACTCCAAGTTACATAAGAAGCCGGTGGCTGAGCGGACAGAACACTGGACTCGTGATCTTGTGGTCCCGGGTTCGATCCCTGGCGCCGGCGAGAAACGATGGCCAGAGTTTCTTTCACCCTATGCCCCCTGTTACCTAGCAGTAAAATAGGTACCTGGGTGTTAGTCAGCTGTCACGGGCTGCTTCCTGGGGGTGGGGGAGGCCTGGTCGAGGACCGGGCCGCGGGGACCCTAAGCCCCGAAATCATCTCAAGATAACCTCAAGATACACAAAGCGTTTCGGATAAAACTTCGAATAATTTAGATAAAAAAAAATAATTAAAAGTGCGAAGAGGTAAACACTTAATATCAAAAGAGAAGTAAGCTAATAAAATGGAGAAAGTACAAGAAAAAATAACAAATTAATACGCTAAAAAAAAGGTGATAATGATGACAGGCATAACCAAGCAGTCCCTGTGGCTCAGTGGTAAAGCCCTCGCTGGGTGCTTCCTGGCTGGGGAGGATAAGAGGATTGACTGGGCTCCAATCCTTAACTGTAGCCTCTGTTCATCCAATAGTGAATGAGTACCTGATTTAGTGCAACCCGTTCTCGCAAAATTAATAAGTCAATATTGACTTATTAAATATGTGCATAGGTGACATACTTAACATAATAGATACCCTTAAAAAGATTCATAGAAAACACCGATCTTACCTAACCTTGTTAGTATCTTAAGATAAGCATCTTATTGCTTCGTAATTACAATTATTACTTAACATATACCTATTTTTATCTTAAGATACTAACAAGGTTAGGTAAGGTCGGTGTTTTCTATGAATCTTTTTAAGGGTATCTATTATGTTTAGTATATCACCTATGCACGTAGTTAATAAGTCAATATTGACTTTACGAATTTGATTTAGCGGGTGGTATTCCAGGGAACATTAGGATTAAGGACCTGCCCGAAACGCTATGCGTTCTAGTGACTGTACAAGAATGTAAAAACTCTTGTATATATAAATATATAAAATAAAAATAGATTATAACATTTTGAAGTCTGTAGTTCCAGCAACAGAACAGTAGTTTATTAACATTAATACAGTAACAGAATGAAAATACAAAAATTGTATTTCGTCCCTTCACTTTCTAGTGGGTGGTTTGGTCTACAAAAAGTATAATTTGATAAATAATATAAAATAATATAAAATTTTTATATAAATTTATATTTATAATATAAATATAAATATATTTATAATTTATAATATAAAATAATAAAATAAAATGAATAATATAAAATTGTTATAAAACAAATTTTATGAAAAAATTGTATACATTTGATAAAGATAATTTTTTAATTTGGATAAATTTTGTGAAGAGCATAAATTAAGGGATGTACCCTTAACATACGGCATAATCAGGAGGAGCATTAACAAACTAAAAGACTCAAAAAACCCAAGTGTATATGGAATTCAATCCAAAGTCGTAAAGAAACTGGCAGAGGAACTAGGCCTATCGCTGAAACTCCTTTTCAATAAATCCCTGGATCAAGGGATAATACCCATAGATTGAAAATATGCAAATGTTGCCCCGATTTTCAGTGCTACATAGCCTTCCCGGCTTGGTGCCTTCTTTTGATAATTACTTACTTACCCCTAGTTTCAAAAAAGACAGAAAGAGCTCAGCAGAAAACTATTGTTATTGTTTATAACAATAACAACAGTTGATTGGGAAGTTTTCATGCTTGTAAACTGTTTAATAAATGTAAGAAAAGCCGTCAAAGATTGAGGAAAGATGTTCACGTTCGTAAGTACTTGCGTAACTGCTTCGTGAATCTGGCCCCAGGTTCGTAAGTACTTGCGTAACTGCTTCGTGAATGTGGCCCCAGGTTCGTAAGTATTTGCATAACTGCTTCGTGAATCTGGCCCCAGGTTCGTAAGTACTTGCGTAACTGCTTCGTGACTCTGGCCCCAGGTTCGTAAGTACTTGCGTAACTGCTTCGTGAATCTGGCCCCAGGTTCGTAAGTACTTGCGTAACTGCTTCGTGAACCTGGCCCCAGGTTCGTAAGTACTTGCGTAACTGCTTCGTGAATGTGGCCCCAGGTTCGTAAGTATTTGCGTAACTGCTTCGTGAATCTGGCCCCAGGTTCGTAAGTACTTGCGTAACTGCTTCGTGAATCTGGCCCCAGGTTCGTAAGTACTTGCGTAACTGCTTAGTGAATCTGGCCCCAGGTTCGTAAGTACTTGCGTAACTGCTTCGTGAACCTGGCCCCAGGTTCGTAAGTACTTGCGTAACTGCTTCGTGACTCTGGCCCCAGGTTCGTAAGTACTTGCGTAACTGCTTCGTGAACCTGGCCCCAGGTTCGTAAGTACTTGCGTAACTGCTTCGTGACTCTGGCCCCAGGTTCGTAAGTATTTGCGTAACTGCTTCGTGAACCTGGCCCCAGGTTCGTAAGTACTTGCGTAACTGCTTCGTGAACCTGGCCCCAGGTTCGTAAGTACTTGCGTAACTGCTTCGTGACTCTGGCCCCAGGTTCGTAAGTACTTGCGTAACTGCTTAGTGACTCTGGCCCCAGGTTCGTAAGTACTTGCATAACTGCTTCGTGAACCTGGCCCCAGGTTCGTAAGTACTTGCGTAACTGCTTCGTGACTCTGGCCCCAGGTTCGTAAGTACTTGCGTAACTGCTTCGTGACTCTGGCCCCAGGTTCGTAAGTACTTGCGTAACTGCTTCGTGACTCTGGCCCCAGGTTCGTAAGTACTTGCGTAACTGCTTCGTGAACCTGGCCCCAGGTTCGTAAGTACTTGCGTAACTGCTTCGTGACTCTGGCCCCAGGTTCGTAAGTACTGGCATTCTTTCTAAGATCAGATATTATGTACCACGCCCTGCTCTGGTTACTCTCTATTACTCCCTCATCTATCCATACCTCAACTATGGTATTTGTGCTTGGGGTTCTACTACCCAAAATCATTTACGTCCTCTCATTACCCAACACAAAGCTGCTATTAGGACAATAACCAACTCTGGCCCCAGACATCACTCGGTACCCTTACTCAAATCTCTGAATATGTTAGATATTAAGTCACTGCACATTCTCTCTTGTGTATTATACATATATAAAACGCTGAACTGTAATGCCAATCCTGACCTCAAAAGCTTCATTGAAGGTTGTAACAGAACCCATGAGCACCACACCAGGAATAAATACAGTTTTGATATTCCTAGAGTACGACTTAATCAAACTAGAAATGCTCTACAAATCAAGGGACCCAGAATGTGGAATGACCTTCCCAACCATGTTAAAGACTGTACCTCTCTCAACCAGTTTAAGATAAAAACTAAACAATACCTAATAAATTCCCTGTAACCCACCTCACTCCTTTATTGTCAACCCATGTCTGTTATTTTATTTTATTATTATTATATTTTTTTTTAATCAACACTGTTTGTCAACCTATTGTATTTGTGCTGCTTTTTCAGTCATGTTCCCCCTTTTTTTATCTTTATTTGTATTTGTTTTCAACACTTTTTATTCTTTATGCTCAATTAGTATTAAGTTCTAGATATTAATGTTTTTCTTGCCCGAAACGCATTGCGTAATAGTGGCTTTAGGCATTGTATGTACTAGCTCTATCTATATATCAATCCATTAATGTAACATCACTTGTATGTATGTACCTTACCTGAATAAACATATTTATTTTATTTATTTATTTACTTGCGTAACTGCTTCGTGAAGCAGCCCCAGGGGCCCCCTAAGAGTTTAGCTAAGTTTGGGGTGAGCGTCCATCATGGGGTCACGTTTTCTGTAAATCAGCTGATGTCCGCGTCAAAACAATCAACAGAACAAAATGGCCTCACGCCGCCCTCCTCCCTGACCAGCTGCCACTTCTCACGCCCCTCGGCTCCTCCACACCTGCTGGGAACCTCCCGCAGCAGGTATAATGACCACATGATCCCATATATGCCACACCTGTAAAAGTCTTTAGCGCAATTATGCGTCGCGACCGTAAACAACTTGGAAAGTTGATTTTTGTTCGGTTCAAACTATATAAGTTTACTCGTGAATGTGTGAGTTTATTGTGAATTAAGTCTTAAGTTGGGTGACTTGATGGGTGACATGTGGCTCAAGCTAATTGGTCGTCAAGTTGCAGTCTAACTTAGTCTTGTTTACACCAATTGGGAAATGGAGATTGGAATTATATCATTCTGATGGTCTTATTTTGATCAGCTGTTTTTTCCCAGGCTGACAACTCTCCTAAGTTGTCCGAGTTCGGACTCTCCCTCACATATCTGAACCCAACCTTACATATCTGAACCCAACCTTACATATCTGAACCCACTCTCACATGTCTGAACTCTCCCTCACATATCTGAACCCAACCTTACATATCTGAACCCATTCTCACATGTCTGAACTCTCCCTCACATATCTGAACCCAACCTTACATATCTGAACCCATTCTCACATGTCTGAACTCTCCCTCACATATCTGAACCCAACCTTACATATCTGAACCCACTCTCACATGTCTGAACTCTCCCTCACATATCTGAACCCACCCTCACATATCTGAACCCACTCTCACATATCTGAACCCATCCTCACATATCTGAACCCAGCCTCACATATCTGAACCCACCCTTACATATCTGAACCCACTCTCACATATCTGAACCCACTCTCACATATCTGAACCCACTCTCACATATCTGAACCCAGTCTCACATATCTGAACCCACCCTCACATATCTGAACCCACTCTCACATATCTGAACCCACTCTCACATATCTGAACCCAGCCTCACATATCTGAACCCACCCTCACATATCTGAACCCAGCCTCACATATCTGAACCCACTCTCACATATCTGAACCCACTCTCACATATCTGAACCCACTCTCACATATCTGAACCCAGCCTTAGATATCTGAACCCAGCCTTACATATCTGAACCCAGCCTTACATATCTGAACCCAGCCTTACATATCTGAACCCAGCCTTACATATCTGAACCCACTCTCTCATATCTGAACCCAGCCTCACATATCTGAACCCACCCTCACATATCTGAACCCAGCCTTACATATCTGAACCCAGCCTTAGATATCTGAACCCAGCCTTAGATATCTGAACCCAGCCTTACATATCTGAACCCAGCCTTACATATCTGAACCCAGCCTTACATATCTGAACCCACCCTCACATATCTGAACCCACCCTCACATATCTGAACCCAGCCTCACATATCTGAACCCAGCCTCACATATCTGAACCCACTCTCACATATCTGAACCCACTCTCACATATCTGAACCCACTCTCACATATCTGAACCCAGCCTCACATATCTGAACCCACTCTTACATATCTGAACCCACTCTCACATATCTGAACCCACTCTCACATATCTGAACCCACCCTCACATATCTGAACCCACCCTCATATATCTGAACCCACCCTCACATATCTGAACCCACCCTCACATATCTGAACCCACCCTCACATATCTGAACCCAGCCTCACATATCTGAACCCACCCTCACATATCTGAACCCACCCTCACATATCTGAACCCACCCTCACATATCTGAACCCACCCTCACATATCTGAACCCACCCTCACATATCTGAACCCATCCTCACATATCTGAACCCACCCTCACATATCTGAACCCACCCTCACATATCTGAACCCACCCTCACATATCTGAACCCACCCTCACATATTCGAACCCACCCACACACTTTTCTGAACCCATTACACCTACTCAGACCTATCCAAATCCACACAAACCTATGACAACCTACCCAAACATATTGGAACTCGCCAAAATATATCTGAACCCACCCACACATATCCAAAGCTATCCATAAAAACAAACGTATAACATTTTATTTAGGCAAAAGTACATACATTGGATATAAAGTTATTTTTGGATTCATAGGTAGGCGGGTACGTTGCCTAAAGCCACTAATACGCAGAGCATTTCGGGCATAATGTGGGAAACTCATCTTGCGAAACAACAACAAAACTGTCGTATAAGGTGTCCGAGAACCAGCGGAAACGCTCGTTAATCGAGGAAAAGTTCGTTAGTAGAGACAAATGTTCTGCGAGTGGCTCGCTCGTTACTCGAAATGCTCGTAGATAGAGCCCCTCGTTAATCGAGATGCCACTGTACTGTATCTGCTAAATGTTCACTCACTTAATGGCTAAAATGTGAGTTTGATTTACATTGATATAGTCCAGCCAGTACAGTATTGTAATGATTTGTACAAGTTGTTACAGATTATGTTGTGATTCTGATACTGACAATGTCAACAAGCTATGTTGTTATTGTGACTATGTAATTATTATATTGTACTTTTCATGTAAATTTTCCCAATTATAAATGTACAACTATTTATGCAACCTGTCCGCCTACAAAGAACGTCGCTTTTCGCTCATATGCATTACATAAGGCCAAAAATTGTCTTATTGGAAAATGGAAGCAGCTTGTGAAAGTGATATACTGTCCCATTTTCAGTTTTGGGTTCTCTGGTAGGTTATGAAAGGACATTTTAAATTAATCTTTTTCTTGAAGATGGAAAATCTTAGGAGAACGGGCTGATTTGGGAGCAAAGTCTTTGACTTGATTGGTTGCAGTTTGTTCTGTCAAAATGCAACCAAGAAGAAAAAGAAGGGAAGTGAAAGAAAATATAGACAAGTGGTGCTAAAGGTATCAGATTCACCAAGAATTTGATTGCGGGACAAGTGATTCAAAGGGACATTAGAAAAGCAAGATATCCGATCATCTTGAAAATCAAGATATTCAACAAGAAAATGTGCAACTGTAATTGGGACAGTGCAATTCTTAAAGTAAGGCTAAGATTTTGTTCCATTAAGTGTCTAAGCGTTAAGTGCATGTGGCCAGCACTTAACCTAGCCAGACTTGTTCGCCACACCTACTACGATAGAAGAAAGAAGACAATGGAGGATAGATCTTATTTACAGTAATAGTTTACAGTTATTTGCAACACCTAGCCATCTGTCCTTCCAGTGGTTGTGTAAGGCATTATGAATGACTTAGTAGAAATCTGAGTTGGGAATCCATTTTTGGAAGATGGGACCAGCCCAATCATCTCCTTTAGAAGTAGCACCCACACTTTCAGTAGAGGTTACACCAATATGATACGACTGAGGACTCACCAGAATTAACCTATCTTGTATAGGGCCAGATTACCCAAAAGGCCTTGGACCCACCAACATATTTTTTTGTACCATAAAAATGGATAAATATCAAATAATACTTTGAATAATCAACTATTTGATAATGCTGCCCAATTATTTTTTCATGTAATTCCCATACTGTACATATTGTCGTATGGGCTTTCACCGTTTCACATTACATTTCACACAATCGAGGGGCAGCAGCAGAAGAGTGCACAGTATTAATTGTATTTATTTACTGTTCATTCAAGAGATATTCTAAATACACAAGCAACTTGACCATAAGTTGTCTGCAATTTATAGCTTCATAGGTATTCCTACAGAAAACTATCCTTTATGGATAATATAACTATGATCTTATCTTGAGATGATTTCGGGGCTTTAGTGTCCCCGCGGCCCGGTCCTCGACCAGGCCTCCACCCCCAGGAAGCAGCCAGTGACAGCTGACTAACACCCAGGTACCTATTTTACTGCTAGGTAACAGGGGCATAGGGTGAAAGAAACTCTGCCCACTGTTTCTCGCCGGCGCCCGGGATCGAACCCAGGACCACAGGATCACAAGTCCAGCGTGCTGTCCGCTCGGCCGACCGGCTATGATAAATATATTGTGTGAATTAGTTTAATATGTACTAATATTTGATTAAACCTACCTACTTTTTGGCTGCTTTTATGTACAGTATACTTTTATTTTTTGGAAAAGGTATGAAAACTTGTAAACCAGTAACTGTACGACTATGGCCTTGGTGTACTGTATTTCTCTGCAAAACTATGCATAATATAACTTTGATAATTAATCATTACATATTATGATATAAGCTGACTATATATATGTGTTTAGCCTTAGAAAAGCCACACTGACCAGAGGGTGGGGCCCATTTAGCTGTTTTGGCCTAGGCCGCCCCAGAAGCAGGTGGATCGAGCTCTGGTCATGTATCTGCTAAAGAGGAGAAATGTTGGTTGTCGATCACCGCAGGATAGGAATGGTTCAGTGACTCCAGAGCCATGAGGTCACTGCAACAGCCATCCACAATAACAAACGAACATTGGAGCACACAAAGTGACATACAAACTGACTTACAGCGTAAACAAATTGCCTAAAGCTCCACTGAAAACGCTCAACTCTGGGGTGGGGGTGGGGGGTGGGGGGTAGGCAGCACCTACAGTATAGGTTTAATCAACAAAACCAAACAAGAAGCCAACACTTGTCACCAGACTTTAACCCATCTGTAAACAGAGCAGAAGCACATCAATGGCACATCACATCAGGGCTTTACAAAGTTTGGCAGGGGTGGACCCTCCTTGAGGGCAAGTTTTGTAGGGGTGGATCCTCCATGAGGGCAAGGTAGGAACAGTATGCAAGGATATATGGGGTAGAATCCTGAAAACAGGTCATCCACACATTAAAAAAAAGTAAATGAGAGAGCAAGTCGGCCGAGCGGACAGCACGCTGGACTTGTGATCCTGTGGTCCTGGGTTCGATCCCAGGTGCCGGCGAGAAACAATGGGCAGAGTTTTTTTTCACCCTATGCCCCTGTTACCTAGCAGTAAAATAGGTACCTGGGTGTTAGTCAGCTGTCACGGGCTGCTTCCTGGGGGTGGAGGCCTGGTCGAGGACCGGGCCGCGGGGACACTAAAAAGCCCCGAAATCATCTCAAGATAACCTCGAGAACAGGGCATACAATAGGGGCAACATTCAAGGTACGGCACAAGTGGGAATGAGAAGGCAAACCCACAATTTGTAGATTTGTTAGGCAATAGGAGTTAGAAATTGGCATTTTGTTTTCTGTAGTAAAAATGATTTTCTAAAATCCTATACTGCTATATTGTACATTTAATTTGTTATAAATGTTTGTTAACAAAAATTCAGAGTGGGTGGGGGATTACAAAAAACAAATGTTCAGTGGTGATTGGGATCAATACTGTTTGTGGCAAAATAATTGGAATTGTTTCAGGTTATGCATTCTGTTTTCCAACAAGTTTATTCCTTTTTTCAGGAATGAAATGGGATAAGTCACCTTCCTGAGTAAGCTTCATTTTAGATGCCGATTCCCACCCTTAAATGTCTACCACAGGCAAAATGTCACGTACAACAGGAGCCTCCACAAGCAAGCAGAATGGGGGGTCAACACTTTACCAGTGTGATGTTTGTGGAAAGGACTTTCCTTTTAAGGTTGTACTTGATATGCATAAAAAAGATCATACATTTAAGAATGTCTTTAAGTGTCATATCTGTGGTGTGTCTTATCCCAAGAAAAGTCAACTGGATATGCACTACAGAAAACACACAGGTGAAAGACCATTTAAATGTGATGAATGTGACTCGTCCTTCATGAACAGCAGTAACCTGCAACGTCACAAACGTAAGCATGTTTGCAAGCGGCGCTATGACAGCGATGAATGGGAGGCAGCTTATACCCTAAGTGATAATTTGAGTGCTGAGAAACGAGCTAAAAACAATACAGAAGAAGATAACTCTGAAAACCCGTATACCTGTACAGAATGTGGTGAAACATTTTCCAAGATGAATACCCTAATGGTTCACAAAAGGAAGCACTCCGGTGATAGGCCTTTCTCATGTGAGGAGTGTGGAGCCATGTTCGCAGTACGTGCTAGCCTGGATTACCACAAGCTGAAACACACTGCCGGAGAGTCGTCTTACTGGCAGAATGTATGTGACATTTGTGGCGAAGCGTTTACTTCGAAGGACGGTCTCATGCAACATCAGAGAAAGCATACTGGCGCTAGGCCATTCAACTATGATAGGTATTTTGCAGCATTCTCAAATTCTGGTAATAGTGCTTCAATAGATGGGAACATGCAAGTTTCTGGACCACAGATTGGAGTCCAGCAAACAACAGGGCAGCAAGTACCCGGGCAGGATCAACAGCTTCCAACACATCAGCTTCACCCAGGTCAACAACACCACCACCACCACCAAATACAGCAGCTTCCCAACCAACAGCACTATGCACAACATATACATCACCAGCAACAACAGCAGCAAGAGGAAGGACAAGAGTCATCAGAGCTCACTCTGCAACTGCACGAGCTGCAGCCATCGCCTCAGTTACATCAGATAGGTCAAGGAGCGTCTCACTTACAGATACCCTCAGCTCTGGGAGGTCAACATGGTACTCAGGGGTATGCAACTCAGGTCAGCCAGGAGCAAGTCGTTCCAGGACCTATGGGGCCTCAAGCATTGCCGGTACAACAAACTAACGGGAGAATGGGAAATATGCAGGATGTTAATATCAAGGAAGAACCGCATGAATGACTATCAGTCATACTTTGTCAGTCAATTTTGTGTGATACTATGTTAAAATCATACACAATGAATGTTTAACATTGTTGATAACTGTATTAATTTAAGTTCTTAATGTTTAGGAACTATCTTTTATGAGAACAATTTCAATACAGTATTTTTATTATGAAACTGTTAGTCTGACCATACAAACTCTATATCAATAATTTGATTTTCTTCAGTTCTTGATGTATTACTGTAATACAAAATTATTGAAATTTATAAAACTACTGCTTGCAGGCTTGCCAACTTGATTAGCCAGAGCAAAGTTTGTTATATGATCTCTGAGTTGTCAGTAATTTTGTACGTGCACTAATTACCCCCCAGACAGAATTATGTGAAGATTAATAATGTTAAGAAAAGCTATACTGTACAGTAAAACTGAGATAAACTGAACAGATAAACTAGGGCCGTGATGAGAGTTCAAACCTATGCACGGGATGTTCTCAGAAGCGCCTTAGTCAACTGTGCCACAACATGGTCAAAAGAATTGCAACCTGGAGTGCTACGGCCCTTGTGGATTTGTTCATTTGATATACGTATCACGCTATTGTGATTTCTGTGTGAGATAAACTGGTTATATACGAGAGTGGGGAATAACAGGTATTGTGGCCTCTTGAATTCCACTTGTGAGTGGTAGTGCAAATGCATTACAGAGGGCACAAAAGGTCTTTATCAGACCTCATGTAATAATCTAAGATGAGGTCTGATAAAGACCTTTTGTGCCCTCTGTAATGCTTTTGAGCTACCGCTCACAGGATGAGAATGGGGTGCACAATAAACTAGCCGCCTCCGGCGGCAACAATCAAATTGAATACGGTTTACCACTCCAGCACGTAGACATTTCTGCTTCTCCCACTTTGTGCTGAAGCGGCGGCATTAATCCGGATGTTGTGCCTACATTGTGCTACTTTTCATACCTCTTGATCACTATAGAGAAGTTAATTGTTTTAGTTGAATAGTCATCATGTATAGTACGCCTGTATACACCTTCTTAAGAAGGTGGTGGTGCAGGTGATGTAGCTTCCTTACACAAATGTGTTGAGGGGGGGGGGTGAGTCCCCTGTTAATACTGAAACACTGAGGTGTAGTGCTCTACAGTATCCTACAAATTTACATGGTCGTCTCACATTAAAACAAGAGATAAATTTTTGTAAAAAATTACCCACAAGGGTAATTATGGGGAAAAGAATGATGAACTGATAATCTTGGTAAAAAAAATTTCAGATTCACTTAAAAGCATTCTATCAAATGGATATTTACATTGTCAGACACATCAGTGGTCCTTCAATCAGATTCACTTACATTTCCTCTACATTTCTCATTTTGTTATTTCAAAATTTGAATCATAGTACAATTTTCCTTGATAATATTTTATTTATTATTTTGTTATTCTGATTGGATTCAGGATCCAAAAAGTGCCGGAACGTGTGGTCGTTCAGCACTTTATAAATATGCAGTATTTTAATTCACATTAAATAGCAGTTACTTTGATATAAGTACAGTACTGTAATATTAAAGTACACTTTTTTCCTACATGTACAGGTTCTTTAGAGTCTAGTATTTTTGGATTTTTATTTTGGCTGAAGTGATCAGAATGATAAATATGGCAGAGTTTGCATGCACCATCCTTTAAGTGATGGAAAATGTATATATGTTAGAAAACATGTACAGTATTTTGGTATGAAGCTGAAATACAGAACTGTACTGTAATTTAGAAACTACATGATTGCCTAATGAGCAAATTATTTAAGATAAGTGATATTATTCATAATGTATGTGCCAACTGTTCATTCCGAGGAAAATCACAGCACTGTTCAAAAGAGTTCAATCATCCGTATAGCGACCCGCCCGAGTGCAAGATGTGTAAACTACTGTACAAGTTTAAGCTATTTGATAACCAAGAGTACATGTACTAGGGTTTCATGTGCTCTTAGATACACATGTATAGTACAGGTGTGTCATATGCTCTCAAGGATACACATACTCGTACTGGAGTACCATATCCACTGCACTGCGCAGAGCGCCTTTAGGCGCTCTGCGAGTTGTGGTATTTTTTTTAATTAGGCTATATTTTAATGTTTTTTTTTTAATGTTTTCATCACTCTTTGTGTTTGGAAATGGAAATGATTGAGTTTGGAAACATTTTAACATTAACTTTACCTGAACATTTATAAAAACAACAAAAATATGTCCTTGACAATTGCACTAAGAAGTTTTTGCCAAAACCAGGTGAGCAGTGCAGGGGATATGCTCTCAAGTATTTAGCAGGGACATTTATGGTGAGGATTTCATCAGAAATTCTTGACATTCCAATTTTTTTTTTTTTTGTTTGTTCTTGAACCTTGCTGTTTTTTGTTGAAAGATGCATATAACTTACCTTTATGTTAGGTTTAAGGCTGGGTGTAACGTGTACATCTATGAAGTGGTGCACAAGTCACCTTGTGTAGCTGAACGCCTGTAGCAAGTATATACTGTATAAATAGATAGCATTTTGTATATAGAGACCACTTCATTGGATTTTTTTTTGGATTTTTTTTTTCCAATGATTCATTCATGGCTATTGCCCCCTCCCCGCTCAGCTCGTTGTCGCCGTGTGGGGGCTTGGTGGGCGGCTGCCGGAGTGTGATGCTCCTTGGGACAGTCCTGTCCTTTTCTAGCCTTGTGCTCCTGCTGCCGTCCTCTCCAATTCTGCTGGGCATCTTTTCCTTTTCCTTCTGTTTCGTTTTTCTCCCCCCTCTTCTCCTATCTGCTTGCCGTTTCCTGCCGACCTTTTGCTCGTTCTGGTTCTTCCCTTGGACTTCTTCTATTTTGACGCCCGGGTGCTTGAGGAGGCATACTCTTGCACCCGTAGAACTGCAGTACCCGACGTCGAGAGCGAGGGGAACCTTTTATTGTCAATCCCCACTTCGTCACTGAACCCGATCTCGACGGACTGTCGGTTTCTTAAGGTGGCGTTTGTGGGGCGTATACTCACGACGCACCCCTAGGAGGCCCCGACAAGATCGGCGATAGCTTCTTGTTGGGTGTCCTGCCTCTAATTGTGGCTCCATGGTGGGTGTGGGGGCACATTCGTGAGTGAATTCTTCTTTCGTCAAGATGATTACCCCTGCTTCGGCTTCTTCTGGTTTACCTTCTCAGGCTCGTGGGGTGGGCGACCAAGCCCCCGAGTCGGTCCGTATTGGAAGACCGGGCTCTGTAGCCTCCGCTGCATTGGGCCCCGACCTTGCTCCTCCTTTGGCCTCTCTGACTCCTTCCCCTGGCTCCCCTCCCTCCTCTGTGGTTGGGTCGAGCCCCAAGCCCCCAGTGGTGACTACCTCGTCCCCTGGCGCGGCTCCTTCTCTCGTTGTTACTACTGCGCCTTTTAACCCCTCTCTCTCTGGGGGTTCTCACCGCCGTTCTCGTCACGGCCGCCCTCGCTCGATTCCTTCCAGTTCTGCTACCTATCAAGCCTTGTTTGGTCCCGCTTCGTGGGCCAAATATTTTGATCTCCTCCCTCTTGATTCTGCGCCTCCTGACGATTTCTCCCTTCATCGACATCTCATTGATTCCGTGGATGCCTCCATTACTTTTAACCCCACTCGTCTCGGTACGCGTGTCGTTGCTGCTCCTTCTCAGGATGCTGCTTCCCGCTTGGCTGCCTTATCCTGCCTTGGCGAGACCCCCGTTCGGGTCTCGAAGAACGTCCAGTTGAATGCCAGTGTTGGCACTATTTTGCTCCCGCCCCATGTTGCGACCGGTGTTCGGGACCTACGCGACTGCCACGACGATATTCGACATATCCTCGCTGCCCAGGGCCATTCTATTCTCCAGGTGGACACGTTTACTCGTCCCCCTCGTGGTAGTCGCCGTCAACCCCTCCGGGTTGTGAAGATTACCTTTGATGGTAGGACCCTTCCACCCTCTGTCATTCTTGCTGGTGCCAGGTGCTCTGTCCAGGAGTACATTCCTTCTCCTCGGCTCTGCAACAAGTGCTGGAGGTTTGGGCATGGTGCCCTCCGCTGCTCCGGGACTGTCTCTCTCTGTCCTTTGTGTGGTGGCGAGGGTCACTCTAAGTCGGAGTGCGCTTCTCCCCAGGCTCGTTGCCTCAACTGCGGTGAGGCCCATCCTACCTTCTCCCGTGCGTGTGTCCATTACAAGCTTGAGGCAGCCGTCCTCAACTTGAAGCACCGGGAGCGTTTATCTTTTCCTGAGGCGAGGCGCCAGGTTCGCCGGCTCCCGCCTTATGCTACTATCTCTTATGCTCGCGCGTTGCGCTCTTCCTCTCCTCGTCCTTCCCGCCTTCCTCAGACTCACAACCGTTTCCAGGCCTTGGACCCTGATGCGCCCACTGCCCCCTCCTCTGTCCCTTTGGGTTCTCTCCCGAAGGATCCTCCTCCTGGTCCTCTGTCTGGGGTTCCCCTTCCTTCTACCCGGTCTGTCGTGTCTTCTGTGTCTCCTTCCTCGTCCCCCTCCGATCCTCCTTCCCATCCTCTTCCTCCATCTATCGGCTCTCCCCGCCGCCTGTCGGTGCGGGCGGATGTCCATCGCTCTCCTAACGGCCGTCGTGTGTGCTCTCGTTCGGCTTCTCCTGTTGAGACACTGGAATCCGTTGCCCGGTACGTAGTTGCTGGGACACCGGTCTCTTTAAGTCAGAAGCGTAAGCCTGGCTCCTCTCCTTCCTCTTCCCCGGCGGGTAAGAAGGCTTCGCTTTCTTCCTCAGCTCCTCCTTCTGGCTCTGTTGCTCCTTCCACTCCCGTTTCAGTGCTTGCGCCCCCTGTTCCTGCTATGGAGGTTTCTTTGGCCCCTGCTTCCCTTTCGGTTGCTGCTCTTGCTGGGGTGCTCTCCTCTCTTTCTACTCCCCCTCTTCCTGCTGCTGTCCTTGACTGCTCCTCTCCGTTGTCTCCTCCTCCTCCTCCTCCTCCGGACCCTGCCCGCCCACCTCTGATCTGTTCTCCCGTTTCCTTCCCTCCGTCTTTGCTCAGTTTACCCATGCCCCCTAACCCTGACTTTGCTGACCCTGATCCCGACCCTGATATTCTTTAACGTGCTCTGTTGGTCTTTCGCCTTTGTTTCTTCCTTGTTCTCTGTTTTTGTCCTTTCTCTTCTCGTCGTTGTCCATTCTTCAATGGAACGTTCGAGGTTATTACGCCAATTTCCTCGAACTCCAACTTCTGGTTTCGCGGTTTTCGCCCCTTTGTGTCTGTCTCCAGGAGCCGATGCTTGGTGCTCGTCCTGGTCGTTTTCGTGGCTATTCCTTTCTCTCCCCCCCCCCAGCCATTGCTGGGGCTTCTAATTCTTCTGCTCTCTTGATTCGGGCTGATGTTCCCTTTGTTCCTTTACTTTTTCCTTCGCCTCTCCATTGTTCTGCTGCTCGTATCTTTGTGGGGAAATGGTACACAGTTTGTTCCATTTATCTCCCCCCGAGTGTCCCGCTCTCTCTTCCTGATTTGAAACACCTCCTAGACTCCTTGCCGGAGCCTGTGCTCCTGCTGGGTGACTTCAATTGTCGTCATTCTCTTTGGGGTGACGTTCTGACGAATACCCGGGGTCGCCTCCTTGAGCCGTTTCTCCTCTCTTCTTCCCTGTCTCTTCTGAATTCTGGTGAGCCCACTCATTTGGACTCTCGAACTCGCACCCTTTCTTGTCTTGATCTTTCTCTCTGCTCTTCTTCTCTTTACTTAGATTTCACATGGCAGGTTCTTGATGACCTCCATGGAAGTGATCATTTCCCCATCCTTGTTTCCTTTTTCTCTTTTCGCCCTTCCCTCTCTTTCCCTAGATGGCAGTTTGCTAAGGCGGACTGGACCCTGTTTTCCCTCAGTGCTACTCTCTCTGACCTCTCCCTTCTGCCCCTCTCTCGCGCTCTCCTCCTTTTTCATGACACTGTCTTCGACGCTGCCCTCCGCTCTATTCCTCGCTCTTCCTCTCGGGGTCCACGGAAGTGCGTTCCCTGGTGGAATGCGGACTGTGCTCGGGCTGTCCGCTGTAAGCGTGCAGCCTGGAAGAAGCACCGCCGTAGGCAGACGACCGATTCTTTTCTTTTCTTTCGGAAAGCGAGTGCGGTGGCCCGTAGGGCCATCCGTACGGCTAAACGTGAATGTTGGGCTTCTTATGTCTCGACAATTACGTCCGAAACCCCTCTGGCCCAGATCTGGAAGCGTATCCGCAAGATAGCGGGTAAGTTCGTTCCCGATGTTTCACCGGTCCTTCACCTCCATGATACTCTTGTGGCGGACCCGTTGCAGGTCGCTTCCGAACTGGGTTCCCACTTTTCTTCTGTTAGCTCTGGTCTTCATCTTCCCCAATCTTTCCTTCTTCGTAAACCTGTCCTTGAGTCTCGTCCTTTAGATTTCTGCACTCATCTTCAGCTTCCCTATAATGATCCCTTCTCTCTCTCTGAACTTCGTTCTGCCCTGGCCCTCTGCGGTTCTACGGCGGCGGGCTCCGATGGTATTCATTATGAGATGCTTCGCCATCTCCCTCCGAGCACGTCTCAGTATTTACTGAGTCTGTATAATCGGATCTGGGAGTCGTCGTCAGTCCCTGAGGACTGGCTCGATGCCGTTGTCCTCCCTGTTCGCAAACCAGGGTCTCTGGGTACTTCCCCTAAGGACTTTCGCCCTATTGCTCTCACAAGTTGTGTCTGCAAACTCTTTGAACGTATGGTTAACGTTCGTCTGATGTGGTTCCTGGAACACCATCACCTCCTCTCCCCTTCTCAATTTGGTTTCCGCAAGTGCCGCAGCACGACAGATGTCCTGGTGAACTTGGAGGTCTATATTCGTACTGCTTTTGCTGCGAAGACCTCCGTTGTTGCCGTCCTTTTTGACCTAGAAAAGGCTTACGACACCACTTGGCGTTATCATATCCTATCTCAACTTCATTCTTTTGGCCTTCGTGGTCATCTCCCTCTCTTTCTCCGCAGCTTCCTCTCTCGTCGTTCCTTTCGGGTGCGCCTTGGTACCGCTCTCTCTCCCCCTTTTCAGCAATACGAAGGTGTGCCCCAGGGTAGTGTTCTGAGCACTACTCTTTTTCTGGTTGCCCTCAATGGTCTTCTTTCCTCTCTTCCTTCTGGTGTCTTCTCCGCTCTCTATGTCGATGATCTTACCCTTTGTTGTCAGGGTGATGATTCGCCTCTCCTTCAACGCCGGCTTCAACTTGCGATTGATGCCGTGTCGTCTTGGGCCACAGGTCATGGCTTCAAGTTCTCTACTTCTAAGACTTGTGCCATGACTTTTACGCGGAAACGGGTTGTTCTTCGTCCCTCTTTGTCACTTTATGGTCATCCCCTTGAATACAAAGATTCCGCGAAGCTTTTGGGGTTATTCCTTGACACTCGTTTGTCTTGGTCTCCCCATATCTCTTACCTCCGTGTTGAGTGCTCTAAGTCCCTTACCCTCCTTCGGGTCTTGTCCCATACTTCTTGGGGGGCAGATAGGCGCACTCTCCTTGCTTTACATTCCTCTCTCGTCCTGTCTAAGCTCGATTATGGTTGCCCTGCTTACTCGTCTGCTTCTCCTTCTACTCTTCGCCGTCTT